CGTTTCTCTACACTTTTGTTTGGATAATTTTTTTTTCTATATCTCTAATCTATGGGTTATTTGGAAATAATTTTGTCACGTGCTTCTGCAATCGCGTGACTGGAAGCGCATATAGGTAACTAAAATTATTTATTAATTAAGTAGTCAGATTCATAACTACGGTTTTAAAATTCAAATCAATTGAAATCTTAACGACAGGCAGGGGAAAAAATTTGAACGATCCAAAAGTGCCTGTAACAAGCTTATTACATTAAGGTATTTTTAATTTTCAAATCATATGTAGTATTTGGATATTAGATTAGAGGAAAACGTTACGTGGTTAATCCTATCTTGTAGAAGGGCGCAATATAAAGATTCCGCTCCGGTCAGAAGAAATCGTAGTCGCGGACCAGACATAATTAGTACTTTATAATTAACATGACCTGTTCGATCAATACAAACAATACAATCTGTGATTTTACCCGGAAAAAATTCAAGATTGGGAAATACCTAGGAAAATCTCCAATTTTCGGAACGTGGGACTTGTATCTTTCGGCGAATTTGGGGTTTGAGAACCGATACACAGCAAAATCGGAGGAGGTTGAGCAAAATCGGAGAAATGACGATTATTGAAATATTAACACAAACAAAGTTTAAAAGAAGAGAATTGAACAGAAGAGAATAAGAATTTACTTTATAAGACTGCGTTAAGCTATCAAAGTATTCATATCACTTGATGTTGATACTTTAATATGATATTGAAGTTTGATAAGTTTAAAAAACTCCAAAGGGTGCAGACTATCGCTATCTATGAAAATTCTACCATGTCAAAAGCAACAAAATCGAATTGACTGGATGTAGATTCTGCTGGATGTGACTTTTTGGTCTATACAGGAGAATGGAATAATATTGTATCACTTTTAAACTCGAGCTCAAGGGAATTCTTAAAACCGAGGTGTGTATGGCTTTCAGAGATCTTAAATCTACGTAGACTAACATTACACTGTGAACTGGTGTTAACCAACATTTCAATTTTAATCGGTCAACATAAAAAAGAAATAGTAAGAAGTAGGAGGTCGGTGACGTAGTGGACAAGCACCGAGGTCCACGATCGTTGCTTTTAGAGGGTCATGGTCCATCCTTCTTGACCATCCATAAGGAAGGCCTGAGCCCCTGCAGTGGGGACGTAAAAGAGCTGATGATGAAATTCTATAATATTCTGTAATTTATACCATTATATTATTACATTTAATAATCATTATACAAATAATTGTATTAAACTAATAATTTGTTAGATCCCAGATCACAAAGTTTTGAAATGGAAGAAGACTATGAGGTAGATGCAATGAAATTCATGCATGAAGACGGCGAATCACTTAATAATGATGTTGGTGTCGACTTAGCCAACTATAAAGTACAAGAGGTAGATAATTAATATGGAAGAAAGTCACAAAAATGAATACAGTATTTTTAAGGAGAGGGCAGTGCGATCCATGATTCAGCACACGTGTGTGACAGGACAACAACAATAGCATTCAAATGTTAGAACTACAATCTTTACACAAACATAATAAAACTAAGATGATGAGTCCTTATCTTCTCTTAAAATCTAAGACTTAGATTAATACTTATTTCAAGATCAAACAAATGATGAATAATCTTCTATTTCCTGTACAAACACAAGAAAATTCTTTAATAATGAAATGTTAAGAAAAAATACAGTACTTTTTATTTAATAAATGACCATTCTATACTTTTTTTCTTTGGAGCCATTGGTGTATTAAATGATGATGACCAAACAACTGTCATATTTCCCTTATGTAAAAGCAATGCCGAATCTAAGAGTGGTAAGTAGGAGCATTGAATCATCAAAATATAATACGTTTGAAAAATGTAATCAGTAAAATTTTTGTCTGTCTGTCTGTCTGTATAACCGTTATAGAAACAAAAACTACTCGACGGATTTTAACGAAACTTGGTACAATTATTTTTTATACTCCTGAGCTGGTTATAGTATACTTTTCATCACGCTACAATCAATAGGAGTAGAACAGTGAAGGGAAATGTTGGGAAAACGGGAGACGAGCGGTTGGCGCACCTAACGAGGCTGGAACTCTCTAGCCAAAAGAGCCGTTAAGACTGGTACATTCGCACACTACGGTTTATCTATACTAATATTATAAAGCTGAAGAGTTTGTTTCCTTGTTTGTTTGAACGCGCTAATCCCAGGAACTACTGGTTCGAATTGTAAAATTATTTTTGTGTTGAATAGACCATTTATCGACGAACGCTTTAGGCTATATAATATCACGCTGCAACTATTAGGAGCGAAGAAATAATGGAAAATGCGGACGAAGTCGCTGGCGGCTACTAGTATAAAATAAAAGGAACTCACGAAGCTAGGGGTGGGGAGGGGGCATTATCAGGTTTCTGCCTCGGTTACAAGTCACAGGTCTGTGACCGTGTAACATCATAATAGTTCGAAAACGATTGGCATACAATGTCAAGCAAGTGAATATACCCATACCCATAGAGCAGATAACGTAATATATTGAATCAAATGGTTGAACGAAATAGGATACTTTAAAATCAGTTGATTTATTTAATAAAACTGGAGGTGAATAATTATATAAGGTGTAATACTGTTAATTAATATTATAAATGTGAAAGTTTCTTTGTTTGGATGTTTGTCCGTTAATCACGCCGAAACTACTGAACGGATTTCGATGAAATTTGATATACAGATAGGGTATTAGCTGACTTATGCCCGTATTCACTAACCTAAAACAAGGCATAGCTTAATTAGGTAACGCTTATCTTACGAATCGCCCAAGCAGATTAGTTTAATTGCAAATAAACATTTTTTATTTTATCCTTTAGCATATTTGTGGACTGACATATTACACAAATGTCTAGCTCAAGGCGCCGCATAACGCATGTCATTACTTTACACATTGCTTAATGTCGTTAGGTCGTTCCTAGTCATTGGTGAAATGCATTTTCATGGGCAACTCATAAGCTTAGTGAAATCGGGCATTAGACTTTTATCCCACTGAACATCACCCCTTGGGACCACGCGGGTGAAGCCGCTGGTGAAAGCTGTCAAACCGAGTAAGTCAAACCCGGGTTTTTTCCAAATGCCAGGTTTTTACTTTTTATTAAGAATATAAGTTGTAATATTATTAAATGCCAGGACTTCGTGGGTCGGATTAGTTAAGTATACTGAACAACTTATACTTTGGGAGCAATACCGAATTGATGAAAAAATAATCAGTTGTTTCATACTGTCTCTATGAAGACCTGGCATATAATAATATTACAACTTATATTCTTAATAAAAAATCGAAACCTTGCATTTGGAAAAAACCGGAGTTTGATCTACCTACTTTGTATCTCTTAATTAATTTTACGGATAACAAAAGGTATAGGTACAGTTATGTTAGTTTTAGACATAATTTAATTTTGCATTCAGAATGCTATATTGATATATACCTTTAATTTAAAATGTTTCAAAACTACCACACACCTGGACTGCATCGGCACGGTGGGTCATATTCCATTTGACCTCATCATCATCAGCCCTTTTACGTCCCCACTGCAGGGGTTCAGGCCTTCCTTATAGATAGATGGTTACGGAGGAGGGCCATGACCCTCCACGCTTACCCAATGCGGATTGGAGGGTTTAACGACTTCAAATGTAGCTGAAACCAACGGTTTAACGTGCCTTCCGAAGTACGTAGTAACTTGGGATAATAATTTTTGGTCATCCGTACCATGGCCCGCCCTTGCGAAAGTTGGTCAACGACAACGATCGAAGGCCGCGGCGCTTATCCACTACGCCACCCAGCTACTACATTCTCCTTATTCATTTCGATTCCATTCATAGGGAAGGCCTGTGCCTGAGCAATCGGGACATTGATGATGATGATATTTGATCAACTGTAAATTATTTTTTCAGATCTGCTTGCCTACTTTGGTGCTTTCTTATGGGGTGTTCTTAGTTCATTCGACGCAATTAGGAGAGCCATTATGGATCGGTTTGTCGTCGCCAGCGATATTCATCCTATCTTATGGCCTGTCACGTAAGTAAACAAAGAAAAAAATTAACCCAGAAAGGAGCATTTCCGCATTTGTCGGTCTGTCTGTCCATGTGTCACATAAAGCAGTTCTGAAATCACTGAGCAAATTGGAGTCTAAAGGCCACATAAGTCTGTGACTCAAAGACCCAAGAGTAACGTGTTACTAGGTTAATGCGCTATACCACCCAAGGCTTCATCACCACTTACCATCAGGTGGGATCGTAGTCAAGCGTTAACCTATAAAGTACAAAAAAAAGTAGATAGGTAGATTAATAAATGAATTTTAGGCATGAGGTCACTTTTGAGTGTAAATTAAGTTTTATTTTTAAATAAATATATCCAGATATTAAATGACTACATGATTCATTTCTCCCATACATTACTGTAGTATTTTCGAAATTAGTGGGCCAGAAAAATTAAATAACTTATGTAAAATACAGTTTCTTACCCATAAATAACTTGAAAAACTAAAAGAAATGTATGGTTCAATTTGATATTTGTCGAAATATTCGTTGTCTGAAATTTGACCGGCATCTATAAAAATGAGGAATGCAATGAGGAAGTATTTAAAAAAAAAAATTAGTTCCCAAAAACAAACTAGATGTGGCTACGGTACGTTCTTGATTTCTCCATGATAACCCTTCCGGTTTTCTTTCATGTCCTTAATTAAATTAATTTTCAAAACTCAATAAACAACTCATATTCTATTTGTGCTTTTTTGTATTCGTATTAATATCTAAGTTTCGAACTTTGCAAATTTCAGTTTTTTAATATGTTAGTTAAAGGAAATTACTAACTTTGGTCCATTCGTTTCCTGCAAAAAATTATTTTTACTAGAGTCGCCATCTAGTGTGGTGCTTTTTAGTGCTTTCTTTTTTTTTTAAAGAAAACACTAAAAAAGCACCACACCAAGTCCAATTTATCACTTGATATATAACATACATACCTATTCGTGTATTGTTTTTACAGAATGCTGGTGCAAAGACGCAACAGATTCATGGGGCGGCCCACTAGGGTACCGTGTGATGGCGACCTTGGGTCTGCTGTCAGTCATATCTGGTCTTCTCATATGTGTCTTCGTGCCGTATTTCATGAGACCGATTGTGTTCGGAGTTCTTTGTGGTTAGTATTATTAACAAGATATTAACATTCTTATTTTGTTTCTTATAAGTGTTAAATAGAATTTTAAGCACCAAGTTACATTAAAATCCAAGCAAGGTTAAAATTAATGCATACCACACATTTATAATAATGCTCAAAAATACATAAAAATAATTTAAAAAATCGGTTTAATTCCAACCGTAACCGTTTCTACTAGTAATAAATAAACACATAATTTTTCATTATTTCCCAGGTCTTGGTTCTTCTCTTATCTCCTCTCAAGTTGATGCCATTATCTTTGAAACGTATGATTCTAATTTGGGAATCGTTCGTGGACTGTGCTTTGCTGGACAAGCTATAGGACAGGCATTTTTTCCTCATATACTTACCGTTATAATTGATCACTTTGGATACTCATATTCACACATGATATTAGCTGGCATAATGCTACAAACATTACCAGCCATTATGCTGTTAAGGGTCAATGTCGCTATAAAAAGATCAGCATCTTATTCAAGATATAGTGATAAAACCTACGCATTATTTAATAATGAAGGCGCAAAGGGCTACAACAATGAGATACAATTGTATGACTTAAGTAAAAAATGTTGGAAAAGTCCATCTGGTGATAATTTGCATAGACAAGAAGGTGACAATGAATGTTTTGAAGATTTCGATTTAAATTCCACAGTTACCCCACCACCAAGTCCTGAAGAGAAGCGAAGAAATATATTCGGTGTCGAGATACTTCCTGAAATACCAGAAGAGAGTGAAGAAAGCGATGAAGAGATTGAGGAAGAAACAGAAAACGATAAAAGTAGAAAACGTTTTAGCATGGCTATTAAGAGACTGAGTACTATAGGGGATAGTTTTGATGAATATATAAATAAGCAGATAAGACGAGACTCCGAGCAAACAGATGGTTATGATGGTAAAGAATACTCTGAGATAGAAGTAACCTATGAAACGATTTCTCCAATAACAGCTGTTGAAAGAGAAAAGGTGTTTAATTCGTTTGGTTTCCGTTGTCAGTCAGCTTACGCTAGTTTGAGGAGAAGAATGAGAATGCCTTCATATAAAGTATACAGATTAAGACGACGATTAATGTATTTAATGTATAATATAAATGATACGTTTATTAAACCTCTCACAAGGTCGTTATCATGTTGGCGTTTCTATCCTGCATTGATGATATGTTTTTCTAAACTCGTTTTATCGGCAGTATTTCTTGTATTATTGCCAATGATTGCAACACAGATTAAACCAGCAATATCAATGACGGAAACAAATTTCTTGATTTCTCTACATGGCTTCACATGGATATGCTTTTTACTGTGCACTCCGTGGTTAGCGCAAACACCAAAGCGCAATTTCAAATATGTATCTGTGATTGGTTTGTTGATTGGAACTGCAGCATCATTTTGTAAGTTTCATTGTAGTCAAGTTATTTTAGTTAATTTTAAGATACATCTTTAAATTATTCTTTTTTTTTCTAGTATTGGCTGAAGCAAATACTCATGACTCTTTCTCAATTGCGTGTGTGGTAGCTGGAATGGGCTACGGTGCCGTATCATCATGTTGGGAAACATCAGCGCAAGATTTTGTTGGGACACGTAAATGGCCAAAATTTCATAGTACTTTAGAAACCCTTTCTTCTACTCTCCTAGTCATATTCGTATTTGGCCTTAGTTACGTCGTAGATAGTGAAAATGGTTTGCAAACCTCCATGTTCATTTTAGGCATTATACTTGCTATAATAACTTTTGTGTGGTTAGTAATATCTTTGGTATCATTATATTTTACTAAAATGAGATCTCTTAAATTTGGTAGACCTTGGATGTATTAAAATATCAATAATATAAACAATTAGGTAGAAAATTTAAATTTGGCGCAAACTGATTGTGACTGCGTGGAAACGGACAATGTATGGAGTTTCTTTATTTGTAATATGCACACATTACTTGTAGGTTATAAGTAAAGCACTTAAAAACCAATTTTGAACTAAACTATAAAAAAAATCGAGATTATAGAAGAATTTTTTTTGGCGATTGTGTGTATGTAATTGTTGTACATACTTATTTTATTGGAATACATATTGTGATAAGTAGGTAGATATATTATCACTGTAAATTGACACAATAAATTATTATTTTTTACTACTTATTTCGTTTCTTAATTTCTATTGACTTTATTATCGTTTTGATTGTTGCATATTGTTAGTCCAGTAAAATTCTTAAAGTACCTAACTAAAATTATTTAATATGAATCCATTTTAAAAAATCATTATTTTGTCTGTATGGTTTTCAATGCCATCCATTTTCTGGAAGCTTCCAGGCCACTATCAACTATTTAATTATTTTAACTTTAAAAAATCTATCTTCTAAATCCAAATTTATAGGGTATGATAGATTATATACCTATATATGGGCGCTTGAGCACTACACTGAATTTTCAGGTCCGGCTGTCCGATATATCAGGCGATATGTAGGTAATGAGCGCCTGTGCACTGTCAGGAATTTTACCGTCCGGAATTTTACTTTTCTCTATTCCGGACTGGTTTTTTCAGGTCCGTGATAGCGGCAATGGAAAACGTGTTTACGCTTGTGCACTGCTGTGTCTGTGATCCAGAAAATTCATGAGCCTGCGGAGTAGGAGTACGAAAAAATTATCGATTTATGAAAAATCGATATTTATTTCGGCGATATTGATAATATTCGATACACTGATGATCGATATTTATTATAGATTAAAAAATGCTATATTTTATATGATGATTTAATAAAGTTGGTAAATATCACTGCATATGTTTTGACAAATAGTTCTAATTTGATCATCGTATGGTTCTAGTATCTATACTTTGCTAGATTCTAGAATCGTATTAAAAGTATCGATAACTTAAGGTAAGACAAATAAGTGTTGTTACGCTTACGACGCCTAAACAACTGAGCCCATCTTAATAGAAATTAATATAGAAATGGACTTAAAATTGAGAAAGGAAATATTAATTGCGAAAAAGAGGTGGAAATAGGGGATGAAAGTTTTCATGGAATTTTTTTAATATCAATATTTGCTTTTTGGCAATTGATAAGTATAAATAAATATTTGATAATAAAATTATTCCAAAAGAAAAAGAATTATGCTCAAAGAAACTATAGCTTGCGTATAAAATTATACCTATGTATAATACAGTCAACATAGTGATCAGTATAATACAGTGATCTTAAAATGATTATAGTTAAATCATGACATTTAAAACTTACAATAGGATGGCTGATTAAAATGCCATGGTAAAGTTCATTTAGCATATTCATTCTCCGCTTACACGGCACTCATTTCGATTTGTTTACGAAATGGCGCCAACAATTGGTCTATCTCTGTAATCGCTTGAAGTTGTTTTTACAAAACTTCGAAAAAAATAGCACGATTATAAATTAAACAAAAATGTACTTGTTATAAGTAATTTTATTCTAATTTCATAGATATGTTAAGTAATTGTATGTGAATAATGCTGTTCCTTAAATTAGTATTTTTAACATCTGATAGTAGTCATCCGACAATAGTAAAAAAAGAAAATGCTTTCCTCTTGCCTCAATTTATTATGTTTTATGTGAAATGATCCTGTCCGGTCATTATTTAGGTACCTTTCACTTATAAGGGGATAAGCTCAATATTTGTTCTGTCTTTTACGTCTTCGCACGTAGAATAACAAAGCAAGCAGTTACCGACGTTTCAAAAATCTCATCGTACCTAGCGAAAGTGACGTGTAGCTTCAAAGAGAGCTACCCTAAACTGCGCAGCTCCGATCAGGAAAAAAACGGACAAGTACACAAGCCACTCATCCGGGTTTTTCATGTCATTACGGACCGGAAAAAATCGGACCGCCGGACCTGAAAATTCAGTGTAGTGTACAAGCGCCCTATGGGTATGCAGAGGATATGTTACAAGAACTAAATAATTAATTTCATGTTATCATATGAAATTAATAATTTTCTACTTTAAAGTGAGTTTAAAGTTAATATTACATCCTTAGAAAACTACGAGCTCTGCATCTAGATGATTCTATTTTTTATAACTATACTCAAAATAAAGAAGTTATGTAAACAAAAATATTTTTTAAGATATTACATTGTAAAAACATCCGTTGAGATAAAGTAACCTAGATAATTAAAAAGATACGTTATTATGCTATGGAATTCCGGTGAAAAATATGTTATGGGAATGATTATATAAACAATATAGATTATTTTACTTTGCACACTTTTAATATACCTATTCGAAATGAGGAGAGCTAGTGAATTACATTAAAAAAAATCGGTACATTGGTATTGTAAAATAGCGGTAATTACAGAGGTTTTAGAGGTAGAGGTACATACAGGACACTTTTGTCTAGTTCGGAAAAACCTTTAATAAGTGTATAGTTTGAGAAATTTATATTTCTGCCAGAACCTTCTGTGCGCAAGTTAGATTCGCACTTGTCTTTACTTAAAGCAGTAGATTCATCAATAACTTTAGATAATGTTGCATTAACCTTTAATTAATTACGTAAAACTCAGGTGAAATGTTTGTGACGAACTAACATCTGCAGTTGACGGAGAAGAATGGTGTTAGGCCGAAGGAAACTTGTCGTCTACTTTATTTGTATAGTGTCAGTCTAATCTAAATATGATATGAGTCAACTCTAAGCTATCAAATCTTACACAACAATACAAATTGTGTTAGCTCTCAGCAAACCTTTCATTCTAATAAAGACTCGACAAGGTAAACGACAGAAAATTACGAACACTGAAATTATTAATGCTGCAACACGCAGAAACGAACCTGTGCAATAATGCCATTTACGAAAAGAAAAATGATAGAATTTACACGGATATTGACTTTGGTAAGAGTAAGACCTATTATTATATTTTAATATTGATGATATATAACGTATAACTGTTTTTCTAATATTTTATTTCAGATCCTAATTGTATTACCAATGGTGTCAGCGAATGTCGACTGTGGTGGAAAAGCTTTCCACTGCGTAAATATAACGCATTTCATGATATGTGTGGATTTAGGTGGAGGTGTTACAAGTACGATAGACACTTTTGTTATACCGTGTCCGTTATCTACTGAGTGTCGAAGAACTAACCGTTACGAATGTGAATTTCCAAAGCCAGTGACATTAGAGAAAATTAGTGTACCCGAAGTAAATGTGTTTCCGGCAGTCGCCACATATTCCGCCACATCAATCGATGGCTCATCAAGTGTAGCTGAGTTTTCACAATATGTGACAGGTAGTAGTGATCCTAGTATGACGGAACTTCCAAAAGTCGCCATTGATACTAAAGTAGCTAAATCTGATTTCTTAGAATCATCGACAGTCAGTGCAACAAGCACAACTGATTTTTCTCATATATTTATAAATATCAATATTAAAAATCAAACAGAGAGTGACCAAACTTCAACAAATACTGATGTGCCGTACACAACGGAATTTTTCCAAGTTTCTACAAATACGAGCATATTAAACAATTCATTCCAAAATCTAGTAGATAACAATTTATCAAATATAAACGATTTAAAAAACAACACAGTATATAATGATATAAACACTATGACAGAGCATCGGGATTACATAGAAATATCAACTGACACTAACCTATCGAATAGAAATATGACGACATCTGAAATTACAAATTTATTTTTTCATAATTCAACAGATTCTGAAACGCGTAACGAAAGTGATTATTTACAAGACCGGGTAACTTATAGCGAACCAAATAAATCGGAGCCTTTTGAAAGTTTACTCAGTACGCCAACTACAACAGATTTTTACAAAATACAAACTGATATCATTACACATAATACAACTCAACGTTTAGAAGTTCCGACAGAGTCAAGCGTTCTAATAACATCGATGACTCCTTTAAAACTAGCTGATGCTAAAATATTAAATACAATTCCACATTCTCAAACCATAACCGATGAAAAAATCAGTATAAAGACTGAACTTTTAGAAACAGAAACAGATACAATTACAACAAAATCTGACAGCTTTCAAGAAATAGCGGAAATCAGTCTACTAGATATAAATTACCATTTTCAAACTACTACAGACACCAATGTACTTAATAAAACTGAACATTATCAGTCCCCAAATGATTCATACAATAAAAATGAGCCTTTACTAGACTTTAAAGATGAGGAAGTAACACAGTCTGAGATCTCTCAAAAGTCACAGGGAATAAGTATAACGAGTACAAACGAGTTATTTCAAACAACAACAGATAACATTGCAGTGACAAATAAGCCATCGTATCAATTCTTATTAGATACTATTATAAATGTCGAGGTTTCAGAAATAGCAACAGATAGCTTATTAAATTTATCAGAGAATATTCAAGAGTTAACTAAAGTTACTACACCGCGTATAACTGAGTATTTAGAAACTACGTCTAACTCCAAAGTGACGAATGAAACTAAGCCATATCAATATTCAATCGATTTTACAAGATATAATAATACTGAGCCTATAGAAATGGCATCAAGTACTAACATATCAAACATAACAGAAATTAAAGCTTCTCCTGGAGTCAGTGTATTGAGTACAACTGAAAATTTTCAAAGTTCGACAGATACCAGTTTACCCTTTGACAATAAGTTTCCACAACAGAATGAGGTAATTAACACCGACAAAGTATTTCAATCCTTATCAGATTTAAACATAATCGAACACAGTATAAGCAAAGATATTAAATCACCAATAGAGATCGATACAACTCGGTCTACAGAAGCGTCAACAGTTTGGAATGAAAATAACGATGCTGTCACAAAGCAATTTCCATGGCAAGAGCTTGAGAATGTATCATCAACATTAAAAAGAGTTATTGATCAAATTGAAGAAACAACAACGACAAATATTAATTTTGCTGATACAACCAATATTGACTTTGTCACAGAATATATTTTAAACAGAGAATTAAATCAAAAGACTACGATACCAGCTGGTATTATAAAACCCACACTAGAAAATGAAGCAGCAACGACTACATCAACGCCATCTTTTTATGGAGTAACAGATGACAATTCAAATTTTAATGCAAGTAACAAGGTTGAAATGCCTTTATCAACTAGTCCTTTTGATGCTTACTATAAAGTACCAAACGGTGACAGATTAATATATACCACGGAAAAACAGTTTAGTACTTTTAGTCACGAGATACCAACAGAAAATTTCGTTGTAACTAAACAGACTCTAATAAATGACGTAATATCTAGTTTTGATGAAGCAAATATATTCACAAGTGAGAAGAATTTAAGTCAAGAAAAAACTACAAAGAGTAATAATGTAATTAACATGGGGGATGTTAACGTTTCAGGAAATCTAATGCTCAATGTTAATCAGAAATCTAAAGAAACTGCTACTTTAAGTACAATACATTCAAACTCATATGCCACAGAATCTTCATTTTTCACAAATAACCACAAAGGACACAACTTTGAAATTAGTTCCACAATATCATACACTACTGTCACTCCATATACATATGATGACGTTACACAAATTGAAATTGAAAATATTGCTGAAAAACCACCTATGTCGAGTAATAATGACAATATAGCAGGAATTACTAGTACTGAGAAATCAAATATTTTGGATGTGTTAAATATTAAGACGTTAAGTAATCTTAATTATTATCCATATCTAAATGCTAATAACGATTCTATAAACCTGATATTCAAAAATGAAAATATGTTTACAACTACGTCGTATGAGAATCGGACAACTGAATTAAATGACACTGGAAATATTCAAACTTCAGTTACTTCTATTTTAGATACCAATTTAAAAAATCCGACTACCAATTTAGAATTACTTTCAACGACCAAGGATTTCCTTAAGCCAAATTCAAATACGCACGAAAAAGAGAATATTTCATTTGCTACTTCAGATACAGAAAAGTCTATAAAAAAATTGAACATTAATTCAAACTTAAGTACGCAAATAACTTCAATGTTCGGTAACTCATTTTATATCAATACAATTCCGAATACTCAGGTGACTACAAAAAAATCTGAATATATAGGAAATATTGATGGTACCACTTCAATAGGACAATCTAGTGATTATAAATCTAATATAGGCTATAAATATGATGTTACTGAAAGTACTGTAACCCTGAATACTGATGCACTTAACTACCAAACATTGAAAGGAAGCACAGATAATAGTGCTAACTTTATACTTCCACAAATGAATTTTATAAAATCTTCAACAGAAGTTTCTGAAATAAAAAAACAAGAAAACGGTCAAGATTTAGTTAATATGCAGCATACAACTGAAAGATTAACAGGTGAAAAAAATGAAAATAACTTGTTAGTCCATATTATTCAAGCTACACCCAATTTTTCTATGTCTGGTTTTCAAACAGACATAGAACAAAATACTTTACCATTAAATATAGACTTCACTACATTTTTGCCACCCTTGGCAGACTTCAAACCAGGCGTCAATGTCTCCGAAACTAAAACATACAGCGAGGCACCAACGAATAAAATCTTTGACAAATTATTTTCATCAGCTGAAAATAAATCAAATAGTCAAAATAACGATCATCAGTTAAATGTTACCAATTCTTATTATAGTAATGTGAATAGTACACAATCTTTACAACACAAGATCAATACGGAACAAGAGAATAATATAATATTTAATGCTACTTATAAAGTTCAAATTAACCCACGGCAAATCGTTAATAATAATCCCGATGCTAACAAGGCAGTAAATAAGTCTACAAGCAAATCATATTCAGGTCATTTTAATGTGAATAGGAACACTACTTCAAAGACATATATCTATGACGTAAATTCAAAGAAAACAACTATAGATCATATAAAATCATATAAAACAAATAACAATAGTGAAGCAACACCTATGAGTAACGCGCAATCAGAACAAAATATACCAAGTGATCTACCATCACTTGGAATTGTAATAAAACAGCATGGTAAAGAATCATTATCTATTGCAAAAACACCGGAACAACAACGAAATTTATTTGAAAATCATGAAAGTAATATAACTTTATCAAGAAATATAGTCAATAACTCTCTAAATTCCCAATTTCTAAATAATTCAGCGATACCATTAAATACAAATTTAACAAGTAAAAAATATAACCAATCGATTTCAAGAGACTCTCGCTTCAATATACTACAGCTAAGAGACAGTGTAGGCAATTTAACAAAATTACTAAAACCTAGTCGGCAGACTACCGGGAATAACTACGAGACGATAAATAGAAATACTTCGCATATTCCAGGAAAAAGACAAGGTAATGTTACCAAATTACATTTCACCTGTAGGAACAGAAATCGAGGGAGATACTCTGATGTTGAAGATTGCAATATATTCTACATTTGTATTGGAAAACTTGACCCTATTATAGGAAGATGCCCAGCACATACGGTTTTTAGTGACATAAGAAAACAATGTACTAAAAATATATCACATTGTATTAGAGGGAGTGAATTTAAATGTACAAAGCCGGGGAGATTTCTGGACATTTTGAAAAGAAATTTTTACTATATATGCGTAAGAAAAAGAGAAAAATTTCTTAAATTCAAATTCCAGTGTCTAAATGGTTATTATTTAAATGAAACGCTGGTCCAATGTGTTATAGAAACCCAGTCAGAATCTCAACATTCGATATCTTTTGATAGTAATGGTGATTTAAGTAATATTAATAATGAAAATACACCTAAAACAAATAAGCGTGAATTCTCAAATAAATCTCAAAAAGAATTTAGCTGTGGTAAGGAAGGTAAGTTTGCAGATGAAGATGATTGTAACAGATACTATGTTTGTACAAAAAATAAAAAATTTGAATTTCGTAAACGTAAGAAGAAATGTGAAAGCGATGAAGTATTTCATAAAGAGAAGAAAACTTGTGTAGATGCTGATAGTTATGAATGTTGATTGCACGTAAATTAATGAATAATAAACCATTATTTGTGTATATTTTTTTTATAATCAAATTAAATGTCCTTTGAGAAATTAAATCCGCTGTTTTATTGACAATTTTCTATGGTGTTAATAAGTCAATATTTACATGTGGTGAAGAATCATGAATGGCTAACACTCATTATAGTAAAGTAATTTCATACAGATATTATTATACATTGTAGGTCAATCAATTACAAAATAATGTGAATTTATGTTTACGGATCAATTTTCTTATCGGTACGGTAATGACGAGGTTTTCGAAATGGTAATCCAAAATTTTGCATGTACTGTTGCTCATCGTCTCTTTCCAAAGTGAGGCAATACTTGCTAGAGAAAACTGTGCATCGAACTGTATTCTCTCCTTGTACTGGCCTCGACGGGCAGAAATATGTAGCACGCACTGGGCCATCTTCATTAGTAACAGTAAACTTGTAATGTTTACACTCGATCGGCTTACTCTCGCGATCCCGTATTGGATCGAACTTAGAAACATCACTGGTATCCCCTCTCCGATTTTGATTTCCAAAAAGTTCTAAAGTTGCTTTAGTCGTATTGTTAATAGGACACTTATATCTTTCTGGGCTAGAACATGTGCGAGTGAAGCCATTAAAAACTGTATTGCCAGCGCATTTGAATTTGATACCTTGAAAGCGATCTTTGTTTGGAATGCATAGGATGTAGCCTTTACAATTGGGTACGGTGGGATCGGCGATGCGTTCATTCCTGTGGCAATGCAAACTTTTCCTCACCTCTGGGTCTATGTAATTAATAGCATTGTCACACACATCTAAAGAATCTGAGTTGCATACAGAATTTCTAGGACACTTAAAAGAAGGTCCTATTAATTTGTCATCTTCGCATAACCTCAGTCTGTCGAGTCCTTCGCAAACAAAACCATAAGGGCCACAGACGAAATGGTTTAGATTTAAATGTGTGGCAATAGTTTGTTTATGTAGTATCACCTAGAAAGATAAATATTTGATATTTAGAATAGGTTTTGTTAAATACGACATGTTTATTTATACATGACATTATTTGTGATGATAAAGTAAGCAAAATAAATTTGTAGAGGAATTAATTTATATTGAGGTCGAAAATGAAACTATAATAGAAACGATTCACTTTATACCTCTTTGATATAACGTTTGAAATTAAAGAAAAAAACATGAATATATTATAAGAAAGTTAAATCAATATGTAAACAAACTTTTTTATACTTACCACTAATAACGAAACGTAGCTTAAATGCAACATTTTCACAATATTCACAGTCAAGGTTACTACGATACAGCAAGGCTGCCAGTTAAGGAATAACGGAGACGACCGTCTTCACACCTCGCATCTCGACCAATTATCATTTTTAACACTTAGAGAAATGGGTTCATGTCACTGGACCAATGTGTCACCTCTGTTTTCAATAGGTTTGCTTTTGCGCATATTTCGAGTGCATTGTTTATGTAGAAACGGTTTTGAACTATTGTTAGAAATGACGATTTATCATAATTCCACTGTTAAGCTAAATTGTAGAAAGTTTTAACAGACCAGCGAAAGTTTAAGCAACTGTTCTTTTAGTAGGTGATTAGCGGATATTCAGTGAATATTGCCTTATGAGTTTTCTTAACCATTATATCATATCATTATAAAAATTATGTCGTGAAAGTGAATTATTGTGTGTTTTGTAACAGCCCAGACTGAACAAATGATTGCATGTTGCACAAGTGCTTTGTAACAGCCTAAACTGAATAAATTATTTTGATTTGATTGCTTCGTATCAAAATAAAATTATTCACTGATAAATGTTTCATCGCAGGCTTAGCACAATATACATATAATTTTGTTAGACAAGCTTTTATTGGACCAAGATCTGTGTACTTATATACATATTGAAGGAGTATGAACTCTACGGGGTTTTGCTATGGCCACTTTCCAGTTCCATCATCAGACTAGATCTCCGACCAAAGTCCTCGTTAAGATAAATAACACAAGCTCAAACTCGATGGGATTGTTTCTTTTAATTACAAAGGTTTCATGGCTACCTTCCGCTTTATTATCAGTTTCATTTTCAATAACTATTGCATTGTCACCCAAGTACATATATGCAAAATTTCTTTTCAATTGAAAACAGAGAAGTGCGTCAAATTAACTTGAAAGATTTTACCCTAACTAATATACACGGCAAAGTTAAATAAAAGCTATGGCCCTCATTAAAATAATAAGAGATAAATGATGAAAGGATGTTTTTTTAATAATTACTCGAAAACATAACTGTTCAGTTCAAGAAGATTATAAAATAAAGCCCAACGTCTCTTGACTTGGAAAGATTTGTTTAGTTTTTTTTACTATGATATATTTGGATTTTAATTTGCTCCCAATCAATTTAATATTAATGATTTGCTTTATGCGCGTTCCTAAGAAATCAAGCTATAAGTTGATCGACGAGCAATTTTATTCAAATTGATATGCACCGACGAGTATTATGATATGTACATGCGCAGATGGCTAAATTTCCCCCCTTCTGAGTGTGAGCGAGACGGACATCTAATGCTTTGAATTTTATACCTTATGGTAATTGAAACAAGGCTCACTTAACACTTTAATCGTAGGTTTAACAATCCTCGGAATTGGGAGGTCTGCTCTGCGCAAACGAGGATTCACCATGTGACATATTATTTGAAACTAACTGTGCGCGATGAACAAAGACTAACCTTATATGTGAAATACCATAAATAAATAAAGTGTGCTGAGCCTTTTGTAGTGAAATTTATGAGAAATAAAATTTTATTATATTTACTTAATACTGGTTTTATCTTTTTCAAGTGTCAATATAAATAATAAATAGCAGTTTAGGTTTCAGTCTAATATTTAATATATTTTTTTTATACAAATACAGTATCTACTCATCATCAGACGACGACTCGCTGTCACTATCCGAGCTCGTGGAACTCCCCGAATCGCGTGTAGGAGCACCAGTCTTGGCCCTGTAGAAGATATTATAATTTGAAAATACGAATATTACACATAATATTACACATAATATGTATAATTGTAAATAAATCTCAAGAAGCCAACTAATGTACTAACTAATGTAATTGAACGGGAAAAGAACAACTTATTCACGGTTTCTTTGCGCGATGATTTGATGTGTCTTGTGTTAAAATTTAAGTATACACGGCTGCACGTAAGGTTATCACAATATGTCGAATTTCCTCAATGTATTTATAACACTACTCATAAAATTTTAAGGTTGTAATTCAAGTGAAGTAATTTGACTGTTTTGTAAAACCTAGCCTGATCTCTACTGTATATTCATAAATTTAAAAATATAGACGTAGACGAAGTCGCTGGTTCGAATTAGTTATGATTATGGTAGGCTACTTTTACACGAATTTCTGCCGTTCTTTATATAATTAATAAGTCAGCGTTTGTGCACAGAATAAGTACAGAACGTAATCTACATTCAAAATACGCCCTAGCACCGTACATATAGACAACGCTCATTGACATAATATCTCATACAAATTCGGATATCGTATAAGTTTTGTACTATGAGGATAGTTTTTTAAGGCTAAGCCAAAGTTGACTATCCTACCGCTACTGCCGAGCATAGGTATGAAAAGTAAAATGCATATATGTGATTGCCTTCTGTACTTATTCTGTGGTTCTGAGCCACCTTGTATCGTCAATAGCCCTGCCCCCCTCAATACTAGCATAGATCTGACTTCAGGTAGAAAGTACAAGTGCAAAATGTAAGCAGCTTAGATTGTATTGAGATGCTAATATAACGTAAACATTATCATAATAGGGTATTCTACTCTGTTTGAAATAATATTCGTAACTGTTTTATTGTAAATTCAAAAACCCATACAACAAATATTTCTGAAAAATAAAAAAAAAATCATGCATTTGAATCAAAATTTAAAATCATATATTTCTTCAATTTCACATTCACAATGCTATACTGAAAAATATTTTTATGTCCGCGACAACGTTGTTCGTGATATTCATGACGTCATTCTGATATGTACACAAAAGAGATGCCTAGAGTAAAAGATTAAAAGACGTACACAGAAGTTAAAAGTGTGTCAATATAAAATATCTAACAATCGATTCCGAAATAAAAAGGTATATATATATATATGTAAGCTAAAAACAACGTTATCTACGAATATCAATCACTAATATGCTCAATGAAAAATGCTTAAAAAATTCCACGCTGTTCATCCACAAAATGGTTTTTTTTTTTAAACCAATTTTCATTGGAATCTTTTCCATTATAACATTGTTAAAGCCAAATTGATCAAATATAGTAATAAGTAATACGATTAAAACATTGATTAACGCCCAACACTATCTGGGGCTTATACTGACATATAGTAGGCGTCAAGGACGGCGAGCGCGGAGGGATGTAGAGCCCGCTCTATGTCGCTGCGCTGTTGCAGCATCGTCTCCACCTCCTGCTGCGGCCGGTTCAATATCACCGCCAGGGTGTCAACACTAGCAGGCGACGCCTCTTCGAACCCACATTCCGCTAAGTATTGGAGAGCCGTCTGCAATAGGGAATATGCACATTTTTTGAAAATGTTTTTATATGATAATTTACATCGATTTATAACTGTAAAAAAATACCAGGCACCGAAAATCTTAAATTTTGTAACATTAATCATTGATGAAAATAAGTAATAGCTACGAGCAGTTTAAACGCCGGAATTTTTGGCGCGCTTGTCGTGACGTCAAAGTAAACGACTAGAGATATGACATTTTAAACCAATATGGATTTTGAGTGATTGATTTTTATTCAATTACCCAAATCGATTAACAACTAATCGATTTTTTAAAGTATAATGAGACTTTTTTTCATAAATCATATAATTGACCAAATCGGTGAAATAAAAATAAAAGGCTTAAAACATCATTTAAATTGTAATCAGTTGTTTATTTTGCGACATAATACATTTGATAATAATAATAATAATAATATAATCTTTATTGCACACATACAGACAGGAAAACAAATTTGATGTTATTGTATCGATGTTAACTTTTTGTAACAACGATGTCGTTGTTACACGTGTACATTTTCGTCACATCCGCTCTGACAAGTAGCATGGCGTTTTAATATTTTGAAGTTACCGCATTTATTTTGCACTTTTTAATAATTATTTTCAGGACGAGAACGAACTAATGTTGAAAAATATTTAGATAGAATTTATTCTAAAGCAATAACGACTGTAATAAAATATATTTAACCCTTTTTTGAATCAGACACATATTCCCTATTACGGATGATAAACAGAATCTGGGTGCTAATTGTTTCATTTTAAAATTTATCGCAATCCTTTCAATTTGACATTTGAAATATATTCATGAACTTCACGCTAAAACTATTAGGCACGTGATAGTGATTGCAATATTTTTACACAACAAATTATGCTTTTCATCAGATTTTTCATGTAAGGTATGTTCATCGATTTTTTCGGTTTGTAAATAAAACTTTTGCTCTAAGAACCACTTGAGATGCTTCCGGGGATCACCGGCTGAGATAAAAACTTGGTTTATGGGGTTCTGTAGTCAACAATTATAGCATAAAGAACCCTTATAGCATTATTCACTATGTTTATTTGTCTGTCTGTCTGCACGTCTATATGGGTGTAGACAGTAAACGAAAATATTTATTTTTTCTGGTCGTTTTCAATATCCTATTAACAATAATCACACTTTTATGCTTATTATATTAATAATATAGCTTTAATTAATTATTGAAAAAAAAATATTTTACACTCGTGACGTGACCTCAAACAGCGTGTGACGTGATGCTCCCCTTACTAATATCAGATCTTTGAGAATTCAACCTTATGGATACATACAAATCTACCAATGTATTTGGAAAACTAAAAATAAATAATTCGTATAATTTCAAATAGGTTTACTCACTGCTGCAATTCCAAGTTTTCCCATAGACGCAGCCTTCTGTGCCAAATCAGCTAGTACTTGAGGCTTGGTTGGCACACCAGTTGCTTCAGTTTGTTTTAGTCTTTGTAATCCTTCAGAAATTGTGTCCCAAGCCGGATCTGACTTGTCTTTGACATCAGAGCACAGCTCAATTATATTTGTTATGGCATCCGCGGACAATCTACAATAAATAATATTATGGAGATTTGTCAAACCGAAGGTGCAACAACATTAATGTTGTAACTCTAAAAACTTTTCACGCATAGCCAACAGTCACTTTTTCAGGCTCGAGAATATTATAGCGCGTAAAAGTTGGTTGTTTTTTTTGGTTGGTTGTATATCTATGTTATTATTATAAAAAAGAAAAATTGTTTGTTTCCAACGAATAGGCTCCGTAAGTAGTGGACCAAATTTAAAAATTCTTTCACCTACGGGAAGCTACATCATATGCGGTAAATAAAGGGTAAATTTTATCTCGAAAAACAGTAAATAAAGGGATGAAAATGAGAGTGGAAGTTTGTATAGGAAATTAAAACGTTACCACAGTAACCATTGTTTACTATTCAATTTGTCATGATATGAATCGATATAGAAATAAAGATTTCCCTAGGGACAACGCGGTCGAAGCCGCTGGCGGAAAACTAGTCTTAATATATACTATCCAACTTTTGTAGAATATTTTTAAATATATAAATCGCTGTTTTTTAAGCATGTTTAAAGTCCATAACATAGGTATATTTTTTGCTATGGACTTTTAGTTAACACCATTTAATTCTTGACACAAGAACGACTTTGCTACTTTAATTTTCAGATTGAGACTTCGATACCCTTTGACCATGCTCCAGTATGAACTGATCCCTATTTTCATGCATAACATCGAAAGCAGTATTTTACCTTTTCTGAGGTGATCTGCGATCATTATTATTATTTTTTCCATCTTCTTCAGTGAGTTTCCCAAATTTAAGAATCTCAGATGCAGCATCTCTTATCTTAACTTTTATATCATTGGCTGAAAAAGTAAACACATTGAAATATTTCTACAGTGACTAATATTTTTTTCTTGTTGATCATTTATTTGAATAAATGTGAGTAATGTAGAAAAATGACAAACATTCTTCATGATAATGATAATTTTAATATTATCTTGCGGAATGTGGAAGGAAAGTTAAAGAGAGCAAGACCGAAGAAAAGATGGATCTGATTGACAAGTATAGAAAAAGAATCTGATCTTCAATATTGCATCGACCTTAAATTATAAATGAAACAACTTTTAAACGGTTTTAATGCTTTGGACCCTTTACAAGTTCCGTGTTCACATACAACTAAGGTGTTGATTGTCTTTTTAATTAAGAGTATAGCTACCTTCAAAACAATACCATTGGACACATTCACAATACAAATGTCAATGTCAACATTTATATTTATTTATTTTAAAAATACATTTGACTTATTTATTTACCCCTGGCTACCCTAATCTACGACCAGTTCCAAATGTGAGAATCTTGTCTGAGAAGAACTGGCAAAACAAATTCCGACAAGAAAAGTGAATTGCTCCCTTTGATTTAATAATTACAGAATGAAGTAACTGTATCTTTTGGTTTTGCAATGTGTGATCTAGATTAAGATTTTATTTGACTAATACTGGATCCCGAGCTGGTGGTATATGCCAACCTTCATCTTTTAAAATTCGGATGTTTTTTAATTTCAATAGCCTCACGTCTTAATATATCATTCTAGGGTTTAAAAGTTGTTTCATTTATAGATAGTGCGCGTGAAAATATAAGAAATCAATATAAAATTAATAATGGTTAATAGTTTAAGGATAAGCTATGACCTATTTAATTAGCTTGCTACATCATTATAGGTATATCAGGGAATTCAACAAATCCATCATGACACTATTGGATATTTTGGGAATTGGGCATTTAGGGACATGATATTTAAGAATTGAACATTTTGAAACTGTTGGATATTTTGGGCATTGGACATTCTGAAATGAAAGGATTGGAAAAATGATGAGTGTTACTCTAGTATTTATATGTATTGACAGATGGATATACTTTGAAACTCGTAGCAACTGCACATAGCACTGAGAAGTCTTTCAACGAGTCTTGTTCTATTCGCTATACCAAATATGACCAACTGAGACCACGCTTGAGTCAACCTGTCTCCTGCACCGGCCACTTCTAGTGTTTTTATTATCTGTTAACAAACATTCATTTTTAATTATTTATTGAACTTTAAAGCATGGAACCAAGAACGGACTTAATGTTGAAGCATTCTCTGTCAGCCAACCTTTGGGAAAACCGATGAACTCTGACGATGACCGCTCATGATTTATAACAAATTTATTTTATATTAGGCGACCTCGGTAGCCTTTTTATCAAACCTATTATAAAAAACCGGTCAAACGCAAGCCGGACTCGCGCACAATGGCTTCCGTACCAGAAACGAGCAAAACAAATCACGTTTATTGTATGGGAAGCCCCTTAAATATTTCTTTTTTAAGTTACTATATGAATACATATACAAGGTAGACACCGGTTTTCGTTATCAATATCGAGCAAAAAGAGCAAAAAAGTCACATTTGTTGTTGTGTTTTTTGTTGAAGCGGCTGACTTTCACTGTTCATGAGATAAAGCTAGGTTACAGATAGACAGAGAAGTCTTAGCAATAGGATTCTCGTTTTATCCTTTGGGTACGGAACCCTAAAAACATTTTCTACGTTAGATCACAAGTTAAACTTTAAGCAAATCCCTGGCAATAAGCTAATATCGTACAACTAAAACAATAGTGTAAGCATGACAGTATTAACAGAGAGTACTACTATACGTGTCCCTCTCACATCTTTAGCTCACCCATATGTTCTACTTGTTCCAATCATCTAACCACAGAAAGATTTCACATTAAACCTCCTGAAAAAGACTAGGTACGGTTGAAACAACACTTCCGCATCTTTCTTATCATGGAACTCTTGTCATAGCACTAATATTTAAAAATTATAAGAATTCTCTCAAACATACTCAGTCTCGCCTATTTAATGATTTTCACAAAATAAATACCTCTTCCATAACGGATGGTTCAGGCACGTAAACATTGGGTACTAATGTGTCTAAAAGTTGTGTCTTTCTTTCGAATGATGCGTGTCTGAAACAACAGTTGTTATTTAATTAATAAGCCAAAGTTGGCTTGGTCGTGGTTATTATAAGAAGAAATTTTTAATAAAAAGGATTTTTCTATGTTTTAAGAAACATTTGAATATAAAAATTATACATTTTGTGGGAATGCAATAGTCAAGACATTGACTTACAACTAACAAAATATAGCTTTATTACATGCTATTGAGTGTTATAATACCATGTGAACTTAACTAAACTCAAAAGAACCTATTTATAATAACTAAATAAAGAAGGTTTGGGAATCTAAACTGTTAATAAGTAATATGGAATGTCGAAAATTTAAGAAGAAATAGAGCATGTTTTTTTTTAACCCACTAACGTCGATAAGACAGAAAACTTCAATATGATCACTGAAGAGAATTCGTATTGAAACAATTGGGATTTAACTGAAAAAATCAAATACAAACCTGCATGCAACAGTGACAAAGTGTCTGTAATAAATACTTTCTTTGTACGCATCACCAACTAATTTATAATTATCGTCTTTCATCAATAATGCATGTAATCTTTCAGCCATATCTATATCCTGGGAAAATTTAAGTTATCTTAAGCAAATGGTATTTTATACAATCTGTAAAGATTTAACAACTTAGTAACAAATAAATAGTATAATATGTTTATGGAAAAAAAAAACCATTTCATATAATTGATTATTTGAAGTTGAAGCAAATGCTCTACTTAAATACTTATATTAGCGAAGTAAATACGCTTTACTTCGATGCTACAAAATATGTTGTTTTCTTATATTTTTTATATTAAATGGATACAAAATATGTCATCTGAGTAATTGTTTTGTTATTTGGAAGAACGGATGCAGTTTTGTTTTGTTATAAAAACAAACTGCTAGTCCGATTTCACTACTACGTGAATAGAATTACCTTATGGGTCTGATAAGCTTTTGAATAAAAAGAATTTTGAAAAGCAGTCTACGGTAAACAAATGTATTGAACTAGATCCTCCACCTCTATGATTTTAAAGTCGATAAAAAATTGAAAATAGTATTTTTAAGTTAATGGTGTACCTGTAAATGATCACTGCATATACCCATTGCTGTTATGAAGAAATTTGTATCAGTAGTCTCTTTTGGAATCAATTTTTCTCTATTCTCCAAATCAGTAAGTATGTTTGATAATATGTCAATACGAGGACCACCTGTAGAAATCAAATAGATTTATAGATGTATAGGGCACTTGTACCTCCAACATCAAATAAGAGTGAATAGTGTATCATTTTGGATGTTATAGGGTAGCCTGGGTACGGTTGTAACAACTCGAATATCATCGAAACTATGAATGGTAGGTGAGGGGCAAAAGGAAAGGGCACGCGGGTAACAAATTTCGACACGATCGCCATTATAGTCACCTTTCGCGCTGTAATAACGCTTACAAGGAGGCCCCTTGTGTTTTTTCAACCAAAAGTAAGTATTTCTGGGGTATTTCTTTATGATATAGCTTAAATATTAATATAATTATCATATTTAGAAATGTGCTTATATAATCGTCGTATTTTTAAGATTATAATAAGCTCATTCGTTTTTGTATAAGTTATGCTACCTCATTCTTTTGATAGACTTATTATCAAAATGGGATGGTGGGGAAGGTTGTAACGATTTTCATGGGGACGGTTGTAACATTAATTTTATAATATTTTTGTATTGTGGATGCCTAGGAAACGCATAAGAAAGACTTCGGGAGGTGGAAATGACATTTTGTCGTACAAGAACACCTACGATGAAGTTAAATTAGGGGCTTATTTAAAGCAAGCTGCAGAGATGTACGGCGTTAACTATAACCTTTTGAGATACAAGCGAAAGCCGTATGCAGTTAATTAAGATAACCAAGAACAGGTTGCACATGTTAGCATGCGGTATGTAGCTCATAATAGAGTTTTTAGCGAATACCAAGAGCAGTTTATTGCCTTCTTTGCCTAGAGGCGTATTTTGGCACTCGGTCTGGAGAGAGTTGGATTCAGTGTCAAGAAGGCTGCAAACAATGGTCTCACGTAGGTTGTACTGATGGGAGTATAAATTATATATGTCATAATTGCGATGAGTTTGATTTAATATAGAAAAAAAACTATTGTATATCCTCAGGTATTCTTGACTAACTTTGATTTATTATTATTATTTAAAAAGACTATTTAAATGTGCCTTAAATGTTGTTATTTTGTATTTAGTGCATTTAGTTATTTTTTATGAATAAAACTGATTTATTACGTGGGATTTATATATTATTTTTTTGCATTACAACTGCCCCCCATTAGTGTTACAACCGCCCCTGGTGTGGGGTCGATTGTAACAATCGCACACACTCTTTAAAACAGCGTATTCCTGCTAAACTGTCTTACCTAAGCTATTGGTTTTGATATTATTTTAAGACAAATAAATATACTTTCATTTCAAAAACTTTGGAGATTGTTTCAAGTTGTAATAGCTGTGCTGTGGCCAATTAAAGAAAAATTGTTACAACCGTACCCAGCCTACCCTAAAACAATTTTTACTTACGTTCTTTACAGAAAAGACAAAGTAAATAGTAGTAAGCTGAAAGTCCAGGCTGGATACCCAACTGTCTGAATTCTGATAAAATTTGCTGAGCCATCTTTTGCAGGACTTTGCCTCCACCCCATGCGGAGATCGAACGAAGGCATGATGTTAATGTCTCCTCATTAGGTGACAAACCCTAAAAAGAACACATTTAAGTTAAATTTAAAGTATTGACCACTGATTTATTTACATTATGTGTACAAATTAATTAGTGTATAAGTATTTTAAAACTTTCGTATGTGTTATTAAACAAATGAAAAACATTTTTATTAATTTCTTTGAATTGTCTCGCGAAAACAAGAGGTCACGTGAGGTTTCGATCCTTGAGGTCAAGTTTCAATAAATATAACCTATTGGTTGCACTCACAACAAATACGGTGTCATGTTTATTAAAATGTGACGTCATACGACGCTTCTTCATGGCCACCTGCGTCTAGGATCTTGTAATCCACAGATTACAAATCGCAGTTAATTTACAAAAATAAATTATACTTAAAATGTCAATTTAAAACAAATAATACTTCATAGTTATTCTTTTATAAACGTATTTCATAATTTATTGTTATAACTGTCAAGTAGCCCATTCATTTGGACCAGTAGTAGCGGAGTAAATTAGTTGTGTTGAAAATAGACAGATAAAAATGTTATTCTGTCCCATCTCTCTCCCATTATATTAACATTTTTGTAGTGTCCGACCGAAGTTACGGCTTCGGCATCGGCCACCTTCGGCCAAAAAAACCATCTTCCGAGCTACCATCGAGATTGAATGAACTGTTACGAAAGTCTGAGTGAGAGAGCGACGGAGCGGTCATGTTTACAGAGGTCGCGGGTAGTCAGGGCGCTTGTGCTCTACACTGATTTTCAGGTCCGGATATGTCAGGCCATATGTAGGTAATGTTAGCTTGTTCACTGACAGGAATATTTTTTTTGTCTTCTACATCTTCGTGTGGAGTAATATAGCAAGCAATTATTGACGTTCCAAAAATCTCATCGTACCCAGCGTAAGTGACGTGTAGCTTCAACGAGCGCCTAAAACTGCGCCGCTCCGATCCGGAAAAACAACTGACAAGTGCACAAGCTACTCAGCCGGGTTTTTAATGTCATTCGGTAGTGCACAAGCGCCCTCATTGTCAAATATCACATTGCATGCGCGTCAAGACAAGTTCGTACACGTATCTCTAATTCAACTTCTATTTGAGACAGTTAATATAAACCTTCAATATAGAAGTTTTGAAATAATTTTAATATTAATTGTAGATAATATTGAACAAAATTAATTACTGAGAGATTATAAATCTTCGGCTTCTGCTTCTGCCGAAGGTTGTGGCGATTGCCGATTGATCGGCTTCGGCCAAAAATAGACCTTCGGTTGGACACTACATTTTTGTAAATACTATATATATTAATACTATATACTATATATAATATTAGAAATCCCGGATCCTGCAAGGAGTGCTCTGGATCCACACCTACTTTGTACTGTAAGCTCAAATACTCAAGTTGACCTAGTTATTCCATAAACTTTTGGTACTTCATGAATTTAGTATGTATAAATTACTGAATAAAAAATTTACCAGTTCTTCCATTTGAGCAAGCAACTGTTTCAATGTTTCAATACGCAATGCCGTTCCTTCTTTTAAAAATCCAATACAACCCAAAAGAGTGTTAAATACACTTGTGGACAGTGGTATTCCATGTTCAATAGCTTCCTGGCATAACATGTAAGCTCGCTCTGCCTGAAACATGCATATTATTTATTGATTTCATAGGTTATAATTGACAGTAGGCAATAATTGACACAATGAATGTGAATGAGAGTTAAAATGAATTCTAAGCCAAGGCCAGACTAACAGCTAGTAGCAAAAGCATCCATTAAAATTGTCATTAGTTTAAAGCTACATTACCTATACTAATTTCTCATTAAACCTTAATGGACATTTGTGCAACTGACTGTGAGCAAATGCAGATAGTGTTTCCCTAACATATACTTAACTTTACCCTTTGGAGTAAGTTTTCCATGGAGCTATTACTGCACTCACAAAAACTCCTACCTATTTTTGTTATAGTCTATTTTAATTTCTACCATAAATACCAACCTGGTAATGTTTTGCCATTCCTTGAATTACAGTACAATATGCTTCTGGTGTTTTCTGTTCCAGTGATGCAAAGATTTTATCAGCAAGACCACCTAATCTGTTTCATAATTATATTAGGTAAATGTTTTTATCAAAGTACTAAAAATAATTTAAAATACAATTTATAAATGTATAGATCATTTATAAAACAAAGCCACTGTATGCTGAGACATCTTGAACTACACAGCAGATTTTAAAGTAGTTTTCATCAATATACAGAGTGATTCTAGAGGAAGGTTTATATGGACAATACAAGACCATGCAAGTGAAGCTGTTGGCGGGAAGTTATATTATAATATGACATAAGATTATTTTATTTACTTCCAAGTAGCAGCATGTCGGTCTTTAGTGTTAGCAGAAAACCATCTCTCTTCTAGCCACTCCAAAGAATCTGGCTCTTTCTCATTGTAAAAACATAACAGTTGGAGAAAAGATAATTTTAAATTATTATCTGTTACACCTTCTACTCCACCGAGCAGTTGAAATATTTTTATAGAATCATCTAGCAATGCATGTTCAATAGTTTTTTTTAAATCCTCTTCAGTCACCTGGGTAAGTAAAAAAAAATATTTTCACTAAAAACATACAATAGAATAAAATAACTCCACAATACATACAATAGAATAAAATAACTCCACAATACATACAATAGAATAAAATAAGTGTAATTAACAGAATAAAATTAGTTTAATTAAGAGATTAATATAATTTGATTTTATAATGACCTAGTTTAGCTAGATACAACAGTGGAATATCTTGTGTACCATTCAAAAAGTCCAGTTCTTAAATCCTGGGTATGTGTAAGAAGTATGTAAGTCAATGTCTTCTCACCAAATACCTTATAGGGAAGACAAGTAAAGACGGCATACCTAAACATGGTAATGCTGATTCTCTTTTACAGTGGTTCCTTAAAGATGATCTACAGACCATCTATGGTCCTTGGAAGCACCTCAAGTAGACTGCACAATATGTGCTACATTGTTACAATATGTCGATAATAATTTAATGCAGGTCTTTATTTATAGATGCATTAAACCTATAATACTTCAAAACAATTATAATTTTATGCATGTTTTTTTTTAGTTGCTTATAACATATAATACTTCAAAACTCTAGACAATATACTAACTAATTAAATAATAAATATTTAATTATATTTCTATTTATAGTGTGCTATTTACAAACACCTATTATTTAGAAATGGCATAATTTACCTTGCTTTCATCATTATAAATTGGTCTTGGTGCAAAAGCATCTATTATAGGGTCAGCATTGAAGTAAGGTGTCTTCATTTTGCCTGGTGGGTCCCACTCTCTTGTAGTAAACCATTCAGCATGTTCATCTCTGATCCAAGCTGCAGCTTTGCGACCGGCTTCTGCTGAGAGGGCATATGCTCGCTTGCGGAAATTTGATAAAGGTATTAAATAAGGGTCATCATGGTACCTGAGTAAAAAGAAATTTATTATTTTATCATATAGTATTATTAAAAATAGTAAGTCTGAAGAAGTGATAACAGTAGGTATTAGTGACAAAATCCATGTTTACTTGTAATGAGCAGCCGTAGGATCAGCTCCAACTGTCGCTGCTAAAGCTTGCAATATATCAGTAGGGCTTCTTGGAATCCTCGGCGGTGGTGATATTCCATCGCTAGATTTACTACTTTGTGGAAGTTTCTGGCCTTCTATAGAAGACAAGGATCGACAAAAGCAAGTGAATCTTGACCATTGTCTGTGTAAGAAATATAATAAAATAAATTAAGATAAAATAAAGTAACCTATAAATTATGATTTAATAACTTCACTAAAATAGGGTCCCACTAACTTTGGCAATATGATATTTGAATACATTTGTATAATAATTATAACTGTGTTGCTTTAATGAAAATTGATTAAAGATATTTGTTTTTATTCAACAGTAAATAGAAAATCCCAAGATAACCTGTAATTTTTTTTTTATAATTTAAGGCATAAGGATCGAGTCCATGCATACATCCTACATCACAGAACACTAATACTCTATGAGTCCTACATAGTTTTCGGTAATGTAACAGTTAAACAGTTACATAGATATGTATTATATAACAGTATGAGTTATTTTAAAAATAAAATATTTTAATGCTTATGAAAAAATCATAATTATACTTTCAAATAATTTTTGCACGAGACTCGGAGAGGAGTACAAACACGGCAGCAATTGATTCTACGGAAAATATTCGTTTGTTAGTGCCGGATTAAGTTAGAGCGAGACTCGTAGCAATTTTTTTGAAGGGCCCATGGTTTGCTTGAGATAAAGTGTATAAAACTCTTATAAATACACTTTTTCACGTATTGTTATGTCAAAAATAATGTTTCGCTAATAATAATGCGCGCGCGCATTTGACTCGCGCACCATCTATTCAAAACTTTCGTTTAACTTAAAAACCTTCACCATTTTGAAAATTTTGCGGAGTGTAAGTTAGTCATAACAAACTTGTTATATTCTTTAAACAACAAACTTGCTGCAAGTTTGTAAAGTTGCCATGGCAAACTTGAAGCAAGCCTTTTTTGACGTTTCAAACTTGTTGTAAGTCTGAAACAAGTTTAAATTGCTATCTGGGTCAACTGTACAGACTCAGTTTGACTTACAATGTGCGTATCAATATGCGCCTTTTGGTTTAACAACTAAATTTGTAAACTATAACGTACCATACGTTATAGTTTACGAATTAGTCACACAACTTTTTGAAAAACAGTTGAAATAAGGAATGAAACAGAAAATAGAGAGGCATCAACGTGAAAATTGCAAATCTACTGTAAAACAGTAGGGTTGGTAACTCTTGGTTCTATTGGTCGGCAGCTTCATGGCTTGGGCCATGGCCTCCCATAGGAAAAATCCTAAGCTACGCCAATGCCCACCTTAGAGAACATTGTGCATTCTTCTAATATTTACAATTTTAAAATTACTCAGCATATCTAATAAGCAAAAAGAGTCATTGACATTGATTACAAGGTGTCACAGAAAGGTGCGGTAGAACTTTAAGAAGACACTATGTACACACGGCTACACGTCAAGCTACCATAATATGTCAAATTTCTGCAATAATTAGTGCCATTAAAGTTAAGAAGAAGAAGAAGACCTCTACTGATATTAAAGTTGATCTTTCATTCATTTCATTTTCATTTTACATGTAGAAACTAATTTATTTACTTGACATTGGCAGAATTGTGCGAAATGCGCAGATAAGCCATCAATAAAAGAAGAAGAAGAAGATGATATTAAAGTTTAAAATCAAGTGGAGAAATTTGACAGTTTCGTGTAGTTTGACGTGCATTTACTGTATATAACAAGGATATAGAAAAGGTCAGACTTTTGAAAAAACTTCAAAATTTTTATCCACTGCTCCACCACACATTATTAACTAATAATATTCCGAATTACTAAAAAGAAAACATATTTCAAAATTAGTTAAGAAACTTACAGAACACAAATTGAACTAACAGCGTGAATTTTTCTCTATTTATGAATCAAAAATAAATAAATATAAAAAGTTATTATGATTATTTATTTGTTAAAGAGAAAAAGGCTGAACAGTCTTTATTTGCATATTACAAATAAAAATCTTAGAAATGTCTATGATCAATGGGTGTAGGTAAGGTGTCGGTATTTTTTATGTAAGCAGGTATTATGTTCGATTTGTTTGTGAAGTGTGAACAAATTTCTATGAAATTTGATGTTTTTCCGCGACTTCACCCACGTAAATTATAGCCTATGTCCGAGCATGATGTAGCTTCCCGTAGGGGAAACCATGTAAGTGGTCCGAAACGTTTAAAAGTTGTTTGACTATAATTAATTTATTTGTCATGTTTTCAACCTAAAAGGGAATTGTTCAGTTTGTATGGGCACTTTGGCTTTGAGTGGACATTGTCTACAGTTATAAAAAACATTATATTTCAATATTTCATATCTTAAGGAAAGTAACTATTATAATATTTTCACGGGAAAGTTTAATATTGTATATACATAAGCATGTGTAGTATTCCATAAACGGTGAAAAGAAAAACTTATATTTTGTAAAATACTTTAATTACATTATCATCATATTAATTTTTTTTATGTTAGAAATAAGAAGCAGAGATAGTCAAATAAAGAAATTGTAGATTTACACATATTTACCTTTAATTTGACAATACAATTCTACAAGCAAACGATAGTACTTCTAAATACACTTATTTATATAAATAGACTTTACATAATCACTTAATAAATAAGTTACATTGCTCATACAGTTTGTCTTCAGCTGGAGGCTGGCATTTGTGGTCAAAAAAGCAGCTACATTTATATAAGTTGGTCACATGATGTCCTTATCATTAAATCTTCCACGGCCTCTCCTGAGTCGAATAAGTGCTTAGTCTTGCAGTCGAAAAGTGTGCTTGCAGTTGAACACAACTATTCTTATAATTTGTGCTCGCCCTTGAGAACAACTCTTCGGCTTGGAGTGGCTGTAGACTCACATTTATGTCTAGGCCTATTAACAGAAAGAACTATTTTAAAACACCTATCCAGTACATTTGTACATTACTACTAAAATATATTAACATTAAATGTGGAACACAAGTACAGTATTCCCACGCCTTCGCACATGTAAATAGTAACCTATATCATCCTGATGAAAGATGTAGCTTCTCTTAAGTAAAAGGATTTTTTACATCAGTCTTGTAGTTTTGGAGTTTGTAAACAAGCTTAACTAACAAACAAATCTTTCTAGTTTATAATATAAGTAAGTACAATATAAGAGGCACAAAGCTCATAAACTAGTTTCACTATTTTTTCAATAATAAAACAAAAATAATAAACAATTTTACCTGATGCCATGTGGGAAAGGTCAGTCTGTATAGGTTCCGGAATATTATATCTGCTTGCTGCTAGCATGGATGACAGACGCGATCAGATCCATACACCTATAAGAGCATAATATAATATATAATTATTTGTCAACAAAATGTTACTTAAACGATATGGCAGCGATATATTAATGTTTTACTTGTCATAAAGGAAGCTTAATTATGGTAATCATAATAAATAACAACTACAACTATAATCCTACCTGTCGTGGGGATATCCAATCAATAATTATATTTCTAATGTGTTTCTTTGACGGATATTTTTTGCAGTAGATGTGATCTAGTACGTAATATAGATCTTTCACAATTTATACAAAGCTGCCGACGATGTCCATTACTTGTGCTTGGTTCGGTGTCCATAGGTATAGCCGGGTCATCAATACGAGAGGTTAATTAATAAATTGGTCGAAAGTAACAACAAAAGAAAAACGTAAGAATTATCACTCAAATGTCTTTGTTGACAAAAGTGAAATAGTGCTGCCATATAAAAATTATTAATCGATCAAAAAGTAATCGATGGTTTGTGTAAATTAAATTATACATCTAACTGAAAAGGATTATTTCTTATGTTTTAATATATATGATACATGATATTGCAAAAGATTACCTAATGTATATGTATTAATATATAAATACTTTAATTACTTTCATTTTTATTAAAGTTAAAACTTATCGATTAATCGATACTATTAGTAATAGTACTTCAATAACATTTATTGATATGGAAACACAGTGAAACATGTTAACAAAACACATCCGAATCCAAAAAATACTTTTTTATGTGATATTTTTAATGTTTAGTTTCCCATGACGAGAGTATTAAAAATATTTTTTTCAATTTTTATAATATTTTACTGTGTATATAGTTTTTACTAATTAGCTTGTCCACGAAAAGCCAAAATTGAACAATTCCCTTTGTTAATATAACTTTTCTTACAATTTGTATTTAAAATTGGATAATAAATTATGATTTGTTAAAGATAAAAAAAAACCACGCGTGTTTTTCTTGGTTTCATGTTTTTGCTATTACTGCGGTTTAGGTTCGGGACGGTAGTATCGGTTCCTGATGTGGGACTGGTGCACCCATCCTCTTGAAATAATCGACTGCACCCCACGATTCTCCTGCATTTTATTTACGTACTTACCATGGGGGAAGGAGGTAGTACAGCTTTGCTTATCTTGGGGGAAGGAGGGTGAGAGGTTGATTATCCTATTCTCAAGTCTCATTTCGCAGTAGAGGGTACACTCTAGGGGTTTTGGTGAGTAGGCCTCCGGTGAAAGAGGAGAGTTCCATACCCAGTGGTGGACTAATCTCATCGGGAGCCTGGGGCGGCCTCAGGCTCGGACCTATAACTTTTTCCAACCGAGGATGACAAGAAAAGACAAGACAAGAGCCCCGGGGCGGACCTGACGCATAAAAAAGGCTTTGATTATCATATCAAAGGATATAGACAGTAAAGGTAAAAAAATAAATAGTTTATTCAAAATATGGAACATCTAAAACTAAATTACTACTTACAAAAAATCTTGATATAAACCATGTAAGACATAATGATATTAAAACTAAACGAGGCATTAGAAATTCGCCACTATTATTCGTAGACTCCAACAAATGCACTGAGATGTCATCACCTGGTTCTAATGATTGTGTTATCGGACATTTATATGAAGTTTCATTTAATTTGACACAAAAACTCACTATAGAATCAAAAATGTAGCCGGAAGGACAGTCTATAGACCTCGCGGTAATAGTGTCGTCTAAGCCTTCGACGCAAGCTATGTACGACGTACAGTTTTCGTTGGTAGAACTTGGGAATAGTCCTGATTTAGAACAGTTATAGTTGTGTACACATTGGTAACTTGTTTCGTTTGTGCACTGCTGATGAATGTGGTTGTAAATAAATCCTTGGGGGCAAATAATGTTGTATTGAGTGAAGCTGTTGAGTCCTGCCATGAGACAAAGAGCGTATCCGCGGCAATTGCCCGTTTCGTCATGTGAATACTTCCCCGGAGATGTGCATTGTTTTGCTCTCGTGTTTTGGTACAAACCCTGTAATAAAGACATTAGGTATTTTAAAAATAGGTCCATTTTGAAACAAGGTGATAAACACAGTAATAAAAAAAAAATATTACAAAAAAGTATTATGGAAAATTTTATGTTATAAAAATAGATACCTATAACTTTTTATTTTTTTAGATAACTTACGATTAACGTAAACACTATAAAACTATATCGCAACATTGTTCCTTAGTAGGTACAGCACAATTCAATAATGCACACCTTGTACCTTTATACAATACAATTTTAATCGAATACGTATTCGTATTCAAAAATTTTATAAATATGAATATCAAGGCTAGACGTATGCTTGACTTGCTTTTAGTAAACAATTTATAGCCCCCGTATATTAAGGAAACTGAGCAAATGGTGAGAGCTGCATGCTAGAAATCCCTTTAGTATTTCTTATCAGATTATTGCTGTGAATTATCTTAGAATTTTGTCGATGTTTACAACTGGCTACTTGAAAGCTTTATAAAATTTACGAAGTATCTACCAAACTATATAAAAAAATTATGCTTTCATTTCCAATAGTTTTCATTGTCAGATATATCTGTTAATCAATTGGAGTCGTAAAATATTGATAAAAATATTTAAATAGTAGATATACAATAAGTTTCGTTACTTAAATGACCTACCTTACTACGTATTATTTTCTGCCGATTCGAAATGGTTGGTGAATATTTGCATTATTACTAATCCTCCGTTTGTTTAAACTGAAATATTTTATGTTCGGGTTAGATTCCACAATAGGCAGCTGTCTTGTAAGATTGGTAAGTCCAGCATTTTATAATGTAAAACACAGTTTCCAATACTTTTTTATACAATATTGTCTTGTCTAAGCACACAGAGCTAGATTTAGGAGATGTCTACCTTGCACGTGATGCACTACCAAGTTACTGCCGCGGATGGAAAAATGCGCGTCTGTTATTAAAACTGTGACTTTTTACTAATCCTAAAATTGCAAAAAACTAAATTATTTGCGAAGATATTTGTTGCAATCTGATGTGCTGTGCGTAAATATTCAACTTGAAATGTACGCACATAAATAAAAGTGAAAATTTACATGCGTTAGCTAATGTCTTCGAGCAGAAAATAAGTATTCAAAGATTCGTTTTTCTCTTACAATGTTTTATGGAGATTAAAGTGACGCAAACAGTGATTAAAGTGATAATATGGAGATTTGATATTGCAATACAAACATATTTTTGTCTGTGGTTATAAAACAATGATATAAATGTATCGTAAAACTATTCATCGATAACAACACGACTCTTCGCTGGTCTTAGACAAGAGATAACTTTGTTTGTTCAAGACCATATTACCTAGATTCTTGGTACGATTATTTGTGTTGAAAAAAGTTGGGATATGACAACATACGTGATATCACTTACAACGTGATTTCTTTTTGATATCTTCATTATTTTGATAAGTTTTGTTTGTAAATAGTTTTATAATTAGGTAGATACCTACTCTGAAATATGCTATTCCACTTTGCTCACGGTAATCAAACATCATAAAGTATGAGACAAAACGACGCGTAATCTTTAAAGTAAATAAAATTAATCGGCTATTTCCACGTACTCATATCTATTTTTTACCTTGGATTTAATAGCAGAATAAAGGTTTTAAACGTTCTAAAGCTAAAAGCATATTGCTTATAGAATTGTATAGTTATTTGACTACAAAACAGACTTGTTTCTTTTAATAATAACTAAAAAATGGCTTTGGAATAGAATGTAAAATTATACCTACACTGTAATATTAAAATGCTTTAAAAGTCTTAATCGCTAAGATGGATTAATATAATTATAAGCGAATATACTTTTATTGTGTTTTTGCTAGTTTTAGATTAGTTAGTAACTATATAAAAGAAAGTAAATTTATCTGAGAAATTTAGATCATTGGAATGGCGAACAGAATTTGGGTTGCCGTCGGCATTGTAAGTTTTTATACAATTTATATTTTCTGATTCCAAGCAAGACCCTTGTATTATCTGAGACCACGAGGGTACCGCTGCATCCAGACCTGATACAATATAGAGAAAATTATTTTCTCCATTTTCCGGGCGTCGAACCGGGAACCTCAGAGATGGCAATATCATGAAAGAGTGTTACAGAAGTCGTGGAAAAGTAAATGAAGTTATTTTGTTTAAATTGGTTTCAGATTTTAAGCTTGTCGAGCCAAGTACAGAGTGCCGTAGACTGTAATACCACGGGAGTTGGTCGCTTCGCCGATCCAACAGATACCACCTGTAAAAAATATACGCTCTGCGTCTACAACTCCAGTACTAAAATCTACACTTCATACAATTACACTTGTCCAACCACCCTCTTTAATCCAAATACCGGCACATGTTCTCCAGATTACGTATGTGAAGTAACGAATCCGGCATCGAGTCTATGTACAGAAGACGGATATATACCCAATCCGAATTCGAATTGTACTGGTTTCATAGAGTGCGTCAAAATCAACAACACTTTTACCGCAACGAATTATTCATGTCCGGATGATACGTTCTTCAATCCCAACACTACTCTATGTGAGACCAGTTATAAATGCCCGACACCAACTTTCACCTGTACAGCAGCAGGACGCTTCGCTAATGAAGCTGACAGTACTTGCCAAACATACTACATGTGCGTATTAGTATCGTCTAATGGAACATACGTACAAGAAAAATACAATTGTCCCAGTACATCAGTGTTTAGTCCTTCGTCTAGTTTCTGTACAACATCGTATGCTTGTCCATAGTATATTCCAGTAGAAAATGTTTGATTTATAAGATTAAATATAGATTTTTGATTACATTATGGTTTACTTAATATGCTGAGCTTTGTCGTCTCATTATAAGCTGAGGATTAATGTTAATACTTGGTTTAAACCCTTGGTTGAATTCATTAAAGGTCAAAGATTACTTAAATAGCTATTTCGTTTCCTTTCGTTCCAATGATTTGAAAATTACAAAGCCTTTTTTGCAGATTTTGATGTAGATTTTTTTATTCGTTCCAGCCGTTTTTGAGAAAGATAGTGCACAGCGCGCAACTTGCTTTATTATTTTATTTGCTTTATCTTTTTTATGGCAATTCGAAAACTAAAAAAAGTCGTATGTTATTTTGTTGGACCACCCTATAAATGTGTGTGTACAAAAACTTAGGGAAGTGAATTTCTTAAAAATTTAAGAAAAATGTGTTATTGAAAGAAGTGATATTTTTTATAAATCAAAGAATTAGTACCTATCTACTGTATATTACATAAGAAGAGTTCAGTTATATCAATTATGTGAAACTTTTCAATTTAGTTTTGTACAGAAATAAATGGATGTAGTTATTTATACAAACCAGATCCAACTCATATGATGACAGTTTTGAGAAAAATCGGTTCTTGTTGAAATTTACAACCTTTTAATACAGAAAACAAATGTTTCTTGTTTATTGTCAAATTTTATTGTAGATTGTATTTTCTTCTAGTTATTTATTAATTACATAATTTTTTTCTTATAAAACCTTTCTGGATCTTTATTGCAAAATGTAATTTATGTGGATTGGTTCTTTATTACGAAATATATTTTTGGCAAATGATATTAATATTATTTTAAAAATGAATATAGTGTGAAGTTATATAAAAACACAGTAGGTAGTAATATAAATTTAGTGGTACAAACAAAAATAGCGTTGATAACGATATTACTGCGATTACGAAAAAGAGTTTGGATCTTTTTGCAAAATCAAGCAATGCAATCATGAACATACTTCTTACTTTATGTTGCATGAAACTTTCTTTTAAATATGGATCATTTAAATATTAATGTACCTACCAGTTACCTGGATCTTTTTTGTTTTGCAAAATTGTTCTTTTTTGAGTTGGTATCTTTTGGCCTTGTGTATTTGTAGTTATTTTTGTATCCAAAAGTTTTTAAATCACTTTGATCTTCATAGAACCTGCATATATAGGGCTTCTCTGCATATATAACTCAATATTGACAGATTTTTGGGATGGATCGGGTTTGCATAATTACGTCCAAATGTAAGTTAATTTTATAAGTATTTTAATTATGATCTAACTGTACCTTTAGGTAAATAAAATCTTTATAAAGTTTTATAAAAAGATTTTTTGAAATCGCTCTTGAGATCAAACATTTTTATTTTTATATATATAAAAAAAAGAAGGCAAAGAAGAAGAAATGTTGTTATGAAGAGAAAAAAAAATGATATCTATTTAGAAAACAGAAAAGATCAGTTAAATTGTAGGTATAAAGAATGTATTCCCCTTTTTTCTTTTTCTAATTATGAGATAACGTCTGTTCATTTGCAGTAGAAACTTTACAATATACAATAGAATTATTATATTTGATTAATTCTAAGTAAATATTCACTTTGTTCTTGGTACTCTGAGATGACCTTTCGCAATCCGGGCTACTGCTCTTGACAGAGCAAAGTGGCTTTTCTAAGTATTTTTCATTAAGAATATCTAATATATGTGAGAACATAAAATTTCGGTTAGTCTTATCTATTGCTTCTAAAGTTCCCCATATAATAGACTTATTAAAATAAAGTATATTTTTTTATTTCTAAAAAGCCATAGGTAATAATGCGAATACTTAGTTATATTACTTATACATATAAACCGTCCTCTAGAATTATTCCGTATACTGATGAAAACCACGTTAAAATCTTTGCTGTGTAATTGAGAAGATCTCAGCGTACAGTTATAGAATTGATATGTATAAAACTCTGTGGGATATATCTTACTCATAGGAAAAACCTAAATGATCTGTAATGAACTAATGATACAATAACGCACGTAAAATAATTATAATCATAGATGGATTATCCTAGCGATTAATGAAATCCACACTTTAATAACTTTTAGATTAGAAATCGCATATAAACTGAGAACCTCATAGTTATGTGTCATTTCAGATGAATTGCAATGGCGAACAAAATTTGTATTGCATTTGGCCTCGTAAGTAATTTTCGTTTTGAACTTGATCCAATAGCAGTGGTTGAAGATGCTATTATAGATACATGCTTGTGGCGGTATTTTGCTTTAATAAAAACTGCTTTGTCTTAGATTCTTATTCTGAATTAATTTCAGGTTCTAGCCTTAACGTGTCAAGTATACTGTGCAGTAGACTGCAATACGACAGGAGCTGGACGTATCGCCGAGCCAACGGATAATACTTGCACACAATACACTTTCTGTGTCTTTGATTCCAACAACAACAATTATTTGTCATATAACTACACGTGCCCTACGAACTCCTTCTTCAACCCAAATACGGCTCAGTGTAGCTCAAATTATGTGTGTAACATCACTAGTGCTAATTCAATATGTACATCCGATGGATTCATCGCCGATCCGAGTTCGACTGATTGCACTAGCTACATAGAATGTGTTAATATTTCCGGAACATTTGTAACGACTAATTACACTTGTCCGGCTACTACGTTTTTTAATCCTAGTACAACTTTGTGCGAGTTAGAGTATACTTGCCCGACGCCTACATTCACATGTACTGCAGCGGGCCGCTTCACTAACAATGCTGATTCAACATGCCAAACATATTTTATGTGTGTGTTAGCAACAAACGGAACATATGTTCAATATCAGTACACTTGTCCAAATTCCTCAGTGTTCAATCCTACTACTCGTGTATGCACCACTTCGTATACTTGTCCATAATGTTAACGATTAATTATTAAGTTTGAAGATTTATGTAAGAAATGTACGTTTTCATGATATGAATAAAAGTAAGTTAAATAAAAAAAACCTTTCAAAATGAACCCTTTTTTAATAGTAATGTTATATATATTTACAATCATAAAGTGAATAATAACCATTATTACCAGGATGGCAAGTCGGCAAAATGGCACGGGCCCCAGCTGGAAGAGGCCCCCGGTCATAGGAGACTCTTTACTCCTGACATTTATTATTACGTAATTAGTAAAAAGAATTGAATATCCGATGAATTTGCCACGGGCCTCAAACGGTATAGTCACTGCGTGGCATGTTACCTATTATTCTCGAGTTTTCACTGCATGTTTAGATACATACATCTTTTAACACGCGGGTACAACAAACAGAACAGATTATTTCTAAACTTTACCAGCGCTATTAATAAACAAGATTTAGCGTCTGACGAAATTTATGCTAAAATAGCAATTTTAGTATTAATACAAATTCGTATTATACAGAGAATAAGCAATCCTACTACCTTCTAGGAGTAAACATACCTGGCGAGCGCGCTAACCCGCCAGACTTGCCCCCTGTCAAAGGCAGGAGATGCGCAATTGAGCATCTCCCACCCTTGCACGTCTAAGAGAGGGAATTCACACGGACTGAACCCTCGTGAATCCCTCACCGCGATAGCCCCGGATACCAATGTCCAGCCCAGCGTGCACCGAACCAGTCACCGGTATTCCGTTCCTTAGTCGCGCTCTGATAGTGGCCCCGCCGAGGCCCGATCACTCCACACACCGAACGGTGTGTGGGGCAGTCCGGCCCCGACGGCCCCACTACCAGAGAGCAAGATGGAAAATTCCCTCACCAGCATACGCCGGCCGACTCCTCGGTTTTCCTCACTACCAGCTCTCCGAGCCTCCCCGCCGATCGTAACCAGCAGGGTTGCAAGGCGAGAAGGTAACCTTCGCGGATTCAAGACCTCGAGTACGGGAACACTGTCGTGCTCCCGCCACCAGAGGCCCGTCGTCCGGTCCGCACGGAAAGATCTAAGGCACGGGAATTTGGCTGCCTACCAGGAACAAGAAGCCCGCGTCCCCCCCCCCGGCCCACCAGCATCGCATCCGGTGCCCTCTCTAAGGAGAGGGATGGAAGCAACGCCGACGGGGCGGGGGAGGGGAAAGGTAAGTGGAATAAGGTAAGTGTTTATGTAATATGTAGTTGTAGTTAGTATTAAGTGTATGAGTGACGATGTATGTGTGTGACTGCTAGTGAATGAGTGTATGCGAGTGTGTCCGTAAGTGTGATGTATGTGTGTGTGATGATGAGTGATCCAATGACCGCCCCTCCGGAGCCAATACTAGGTCAACCTTTGCTAAGTATTTGTTTAATATTATTAATTTTGACTGATACTAGTGCAGTCTCAACGTTAATTTACTCTAATGCTTAACCTTGTTTATTAATAATACTGTATCAGTTTAACGAGTTACGTACGAGTAATAGCGACCAAAGTCTAGGTCTTTGAAAGCCTAAGTTACGAAATTACGTATGAAAATAAGAAGTAATATTCAAATATTTTTTAGTTTTAAACAACTATTTGTTTTTTAGATTCAAAAGTAAGAATTTTTACTTATTAATACTTTAAAGTATAGTGTCGTTGCTAATTACTTATTCAACTAGCATCATAACACACTTTTTATCTTTAAAGATAAAGTGATGTTTGAGTTTTAATGAATACATTTAACAAATCTTCTAACATTTAAACTCAAATATTGCTCCATAGAAACAAAATGAAGTAAGTAAGAATTACTGCATATTTTTATTAGTTATTAATTTAGTAAGTTTATTTTATTAATACATTACATTGTTTCTGTATGGCATGTTACCTAAATAAATTTATTCTATTCTATGCTAGATGTTTAAATAATTCTTATGTATTCATTCATTGACTTATATTATTTTGTTGATTGGTATCACATGATAATATTTATAAAGTGTTAATAGGTCTATAACCTGCAGCATGATTATAAGATCACAATAATAAAATGACTTCAAACTTAGTTAAATCTGTCACTTCTTCCCCACAATTTCCTTTTAGATCTTTCTTTATATAAGTTTATGTTTAAGTCGGGTTTGTTTTGAACTTCTCCGATTAAAAATGAAGCCAGTTTTCTTGCTGTTAACAGATTCTGATTGAAATTCGTTAAGTTATGCTTCTTTTCTGCAGTAGCTTCAGTCATTGTTATAAAGTGATGATTAGTCTGTATTGATTTCCTCATGGTCGCGTAAAATGTTTTGAAATAATTATCTCTTGCTTCATTTATTACTGAAGCAGGTACTTTTGGTTTCATGTTTTCATTCGTTCCACCGACAATGGTTACCGTTTTTGTATTATGATAAACAGATCTGGAACTTTTACCTTTATCCGTAGATGGTGGATAACGTGGCTTTAAAGTATATTCTTGATACAGTCTGAAATTCTCATAGTCAAATTCAGGAAAACTGGTTACTAAATATGTAGATTCGTTGACTCGTCGGACTTGATATGTTTTAACACTAATGGAAATTGTGAAAAAGCTAATAAATATACATTTAACTAACAAAACATTGTTTGAAGCGATCATTAAAATTAGTTTAAAAATGGACTTAGGTTATGGATATGTCACTCATTTTTCAATCATAGACATACAAAAATCTATGTCACTTAAAAAATAGTGAAATAAGTTTTAAATAAATAGTCTTTAATTTAAAAAAAATTAAGATAAATTATTTGTGAACGCTACAAATATGAACAAAGCAAAAATATGGTAAAGTACGCTAGTAGCGAGATGCTATCACACCCTCTTGTAAAAAGTGAATGAAATCAGACAATGTCGTCGAGAGTTAGCTCTCATACATGGGATCAAGGTCAAATTGGTCTGGCAAATCATTCAAATACAATTCAACCATCGAAGTACGCCTGCGATGTATACTTAACTATAATGTCAAAGTGATAAGCTTTATTTTAAGGTACATTTAAAACTTACGCTTATGTCGATCTCACGAAGGAAGGAGTATAAGACAGTTCTCAATGTGAGCGTGCACACACGCTTATCAATTACAATTTCCGCAAATGAACAAACGCTTATCAATTACAATTTCCGCAAATGAACAACTTACTTGAAGAAATTCTTGCTAATAATACACAATACAAAAGGGATAGGTATACAAATTATGATTAGCTGTTTAGCAATTTAAAATACATTTTGTTCAAAACTTAACAAACAACCTACTTTGTAGCAGAAATAATGAAATAAGATTATTGATCATTGCAGAATTTTCAGGGATGTGAAATAATTCATAAAAAAAATAGCCAAATTCTGCATAGAGTCAGGCATATTGGATGTTGTATATTATTACTGAAGTTCATAAACCATGAAAATTGGAACAAGAAAAATTGCTAACGAAAGATAAACTGAACTTTATTTTAGGAATACTGTTTTCCCCAAATATTGTTAACAGTTAGTAGTATTTTTTGTGATGTGATAATATTACGGTTTGTATATTTTTAAATATAATTGCGAACATCCCGTTGTACTACCAACTTACCTACTATTAACTGATAAATAATCAAAATAGACGACATGTAAATAAACGGGTATCTTATGCCTGTATTGAAAACGAAGATTCAGTTTCAAAGCTTCAGTTCGAGCTTGTTCAGACCTGAATATTTGATATAATTTCAAATTGATACTGCGTGTGGAATGCGTGCAACATTCCGAAGAAAAAGGTCTCATTCGACAGAAAGCCAGCTGGACTATGCATGTTATAATAGTTTCTTATTTATTTTATAAAGACAGTTCTAATGTAAAAAAAATGTGCTCTAAACAAGAGCATAACAGTGACATTTATTACACATTTTTTGAAAAAAAAAAATATATAGTATATTTATTACAAAAATATGTATAATGATTTAAAGCTCACTTCAATACTTTTAGTTGCAATACTAAGTGATTGATGAACATAATGAATGAAAGGCTACTCCATTCGCCTTATTGTCTACAAACGTTTACAAATCGGCTTTCATTTCATTGTGAGCTTTCAAATTTTTCTACGATGCTTGGTAGCTACCTAACAAAATTAATTGATTTATTCAACAATGATTACAATGACTATCAGATCTTCTGTTTTATGTTTTTGTATAAGCTTTTTGTTTAAATATTTTGTTAATTTAATTTGTAACTTCGTTCACACAAGTTTTATTCTGATATTAATATTTTGATTTAACGTTAAATGTATGATTTAAAATTTAAATTATGTTAAATTATGTCGTGAAAATATTGCAAAAAATATTTGTGAAAAATTATAGAAATATGGTAATTAAAATGGCAAAATTTTCTTTTTATAATCCTCTTAATGAATGTGGTATTATTTTACTACAGTTTTAAATTTTAAGCGAAAGTTGGTAATAAGTAAATAATAAAAACATTGGATTATCTACAACTTTTACGTAGTCAATAGATATCATATGATTGTAGAGTTCAATCTAAATTCGTTTATAACAATGCGTGTAAAAGTTTCAAATTGAAGTTACTCCGTGCTTTTATTTGTTAACAATTGTTTACAGTGAAGGTCAAGTGTCGTGGATATTGCTTTCCATGCCAGCCACCGGTCATTGTCCTCTAGATGCATAGATTCTTGATGCAACCAATTTCGACACAGGCCATCCTCATCGGCGATTCTGTGGAAGCATTTGTATCTCGATTATGCAATCTGAATAACAAATGTATTAATGTTGTTTACGTTGACACATTTCGCGTGATTTGATTGTTTAATTTAAAAGCGTTTTGTTGAAATTTTCCTTAAGTAATATGCAACAGCTTTTGTATTGGGTCATTATTTGAACATGTAAGATTCTCAGGGTTCAATGTTTCAAAACCAAAAATGGATCTTTGCTAGTTTAAAAAAGTTGGCAAACTATATGATGTTATTTATTAAACAAAAGTTAGACTCTGATTATATTTTTTCTCTCTTCTTATTTCTGAAATTATTGGCCCTAAAATTAAATAATCCGTTAAAGTATATAAATGAATTTGAAACATGGCGCCCTCTTATGTAGATGAAAATAAATGTTATATCAAAAGAAAGGGCTCTAATTGTGAGAATAATTAGATCTAGAAAATAGTCGAAATTTACCATCCCATCCTCGATCTCCGAAACTATTGAAACATAATATTTTGAAAAAATACAAAGAATACTCATATGGTAATCAATAGCAGAATGATTAAAAAAAAATGTGTGGATTCCTCTATGCGCAATTCTAACTAGCTCTTGACCTATTTTTATTTCATACTAACTTTCGCCAGCGGTTTCTCCCGCGTGGTCCATAGGTAAATGTTTAGTGGGATAAAAATCCTATTATCTAAGACAGCTAATACCCTATCTGTATACCAAATTTCATCAAAATCCGTTCAGTAGTTTCGGCGTAATTGACGGACAAACACCCAAACAAAGAAACTTTCATATTTATAATATTAATAGGATGTCAGTAAGTAAACTGCTTATATTTAGTATATTCGTAAGTAGTAAGATAGGTATTATACTTTGGAATTACGCCAAAACTTACATTCTAAAGAAAATTCTAGGTAATGATAACGAACATTACGTAATAAACATCTTTACGTATGCACGAGTGAATACGGATGCGTGTGATATATAGAGTTGACCGATTTCAGTGTTGAAATAAAAGTATTTGCATATTACAAAACTGGTATTTTATAGGTAGTTCAAATGAAGACGTGTGTTATATTACTAACGTAATTACAGTCGTAAAACTTCTTTTGGACAACATATAAGTTTAAGAAGAAATATTTTATTTGCAACTAGCTTTCCGCCAGCGCTTTCGCTCGCGTGGTCCCGTATTATGCAAACCTTCTCCTTGAAACACTTTGTATATTTATGTATAAAACAGTATTAAAATCTGTTGTGTAGTTTAAAAGATCTCAATTTTGTTTTTACGATAAAATTATACTTTACTAGATAAATACGATAAATGGAATAAAATTAATTTACAAAAGGAAGAGACACAGCATTCGGCTATTGCGTTTTCTTCGTCACCTATCGTGAATTAGTGTCGATATAAAAACCTCTTTCCGGCATTGAAACTGATGATAAGAATTCAATTACGTCAGTATAAAAAGGTGCAGTCGGCAACTAGAGTAAAAGTGTATCCTCTGATACGCACGTGGGCTGAATAACATTGACTTGCGAAAGCTAACACAAAGTTCATATATTTGTAAATAAAACGCGTATCGACCGCTCGAAATTTAACAATTTCACTGAATCACTGCAGGTATCTGAATACTAATTCAATTCCAGATTTCACTGTCTCCTGTCAATAACATTATGAAATCGAATAACGATTCTTTGCGTTTTCGCCGGAAATAGATTAGCTAATTAAAACTTACCGCTAACGTTCCCACTGTATTATTATGTTCCAGAAATATTTGTTACAAACTAGGGAGATACAAGATTTAGTGTTGGAGTAAATTTACGCTAAGATTGTTTTTTTCATATTATCAAACAGAGACTTGGCGAAAGTTAACCTAGTACTAGGTTCTAAGGGAATAATATTTACTCATAGAAAGTAGTAGGTTTGCTTTTTCTCTGTATAATACATATATAAATAAATATAAATATAAATATTTAACAACATCACATACATTGCTCAGATTCCAAGATGAGTAGCTAAAGCCCCCGTATTATGGAGTGTCTGAGACAACGAAGGTACCACAACACCCAGACCCGAGTCAATATAGAAAAGTTCATTTTCTACATTGACCCGACCGGGAATCGAACCCAGGACCTCAGAGATGGCGACACCTTGAAACCGGCGTGCGAACCACTCGGCTACGGAGGTACTATAATTAAAATTGCAATTTTAGCGTAAATTTATTCTGAAGCTAAACCTTGTTTATTTATATTACTGTCTATGTCTCCGATGTTTGTGGGTCTCAGCCCTATGTGTTTTTATTAAGAAAAGGTATTTTTTTTTTTAATAATTATATGAATGATATTTACCATCGATTAAGATATCTATACTCACTACCTATACTTGTGGGAAGAACTAAACAGGAAAATCATATAATATTGACATTTATGTCATTTTAATTGTATCTGATCCATAGAAGTGTCTATTTACCACAGGAACTACTAATATAAAAATAGAACGACTCTTGTAGTTAGATTTACCTAGCAAGCGACAGGGAAATGTGTGAGACCAGTCTTGCCAACCCTACTGTTTTAACAGTAGATTTGTTGTTTCCACATTTATGCCTCAGTTTTCTGTGTCATCCCTAATTTTTACTGTTTCTCAATTAACGTTCAGCGCCACCTATTACACTGTGTAAATATAATTCAAAATAACTGAATCCAAAACCGAATGCTACTCATTTAAAGCCACAGAAGAAATTCAACAAAACTATGTATGATTTTAAAAAAGAAAATGAGCCAGATAAATAATATAAAAACTATATATACGTAAAGAAGATAAGGTAATTTAGGATGAAAGTAGAAAATAATTAAGTTTTCTATTTCGTTTCATTTTTCTTTAATTTTTTTATTTTGTGATCAGTATTATAATATTACAATGTAAGTAAGTTTTGATACCTAATAAAAGTATACCAGTATTATCATATCAGTTTTATTTATATGAGTACAGAATGAAATATGGCTTTTACATATCCTATTGTTTTCTTCTATTTTTTTATTGGTGATTCGTCGTTTTTAGTTTTCAGTTCCCGGAGGCGTAGTTAGATTTAGTTATAAGTTATTAATGCTGTCGTTGTAAATTATAGCATGTTACCCGCGTATGTTGAAGTGAAAGAACTTTCATGATCGGATCAGTATTTTCTAAAATTACTCTCAAAAAATTAAATTAGAAACATTACCAGGTTTACTGTTATTGATATATTATCCCAAATTATTTGTATATTTCATTTACTGTTTAATCAGTGAAAATGATTCTAGAATTTAATAGTGGATAATTCATAAACATTGTGTGCCTTCTAAGATGCACAACACAAGGCAAATAAGGAGTATACACATTTCAATTATCTGTCAACTATTACACTGTACTTACATCGTTCGAAACTTGTAAATATTGAATATGAAATAAATGACATTTCAAATAATAAATCTTACATTGTTACAGTCATTGTTTGCAAAGAAATCGTATTAAACTACGCCTCTATGAGGTAAGTATAGGAATCTCTACATAAATACATACATTTAGTTACATGTAAGTATACCTTTAGGGCGTATGTCTGGGTTAGCAGAACGTCAAGGTGCGGCCACATGAGACAGATAATCCAGAGCAGGACATCAGTTTACCATAATGTGATAAATTATCACAGTTTGTTGTGAATTGTACCCCTAAGACATTAAGGTTTAAAATGAAGTGGAATTTGAATATTTTGTATAACTTCATGTGCCGTTGTGTAATGTCTATGGTGCTTCATTTGGCATGTTGACCGGAAGTGACATTTACGAGTCTTACGAGTTGCCAGCCCATTATTGTTTCATTTTTCAAAACTAGTTCGTTGTCAATAGATTTTTTTTCTATTTGCACGGGAAAATAGGACAACATAAATTTTGTTCAGGTGGAAGTCTAGTAAGTTATTTAAGTAATAATAAATCCCTGAAAATGATACTTCAGTATAATATGAAAATTAAGTGATTTCCATCGGTTCAGCTTTTTATTTCTGTGTTTTAGTCATTTCTTAAAGCTGTACCGATGGAAATCACTTTATCAATCCATCATTATATCTTATTTGGATCTTGCGATAAGTATTTTTTGTTTTGGAACTTTTTAAGTTTATCTTAATTTTATACCTCCTTATATGCAGTGAATTTGATAGACAATAATATACTAAAGCGGTGGGAAATAAGCTCGTATTTAATAAAAAGAAAATACTAGAATTAATGTAACTGTAACAGTGCTCGAACCATTTATTTTAATTCTTGGTACGAAACAATAACATCAAAACCAGCAAAGTGCAAGTCGGACTCGCGCACGAAGGGTTTTGTGTCATTCATTACCCATTAAAAATAAACATGTTTGTTATTTTCTATGGAGTTATTTGAAATTTTAGAGTTGAATACAATTGGCCGACTATTACTAGTAAACTTTGTAAAGTCAACTTAAGTGTGATAGTTTTCCTTTTAACTTCGTTATTAGTATGAAACGATGTAACGTTTTTAATTTTTACCAAAAAGCGTTTAGTTTACGAAAATTAGCTCTTTTAAGCTTAATAAGTTACAAACTAAACAAAACTAAGGTATACTAATTCTTCAAAAAAACGACCTTCCCACACTTCAATGTTTTTGAAAGACCTATCCAATGATCCCCACACTATGGGGAAGACTTTAAAGGGAAAATCTTTTTTTTCGAATTTTTACTTTACCATTTCGTCGACGTAATTAACGTTTATACTCGTGCTAAATTACAACTTTCCAGCACCAACAGTTTTTGAGCTAAGCCGCAGATGGACGGACTGTATGACGAAGCTCTAAGGATTATTTGTTGATTATGGAACCGCAAAAACAGACCAAAGAGAGATTGGTTGGTTCCGGCCACATCGGCTTTGCCGTGGCTATCGTTTTTTGGTTGTCTGTGTACACGGAAGTAACACCAGGACGGAAAGATGTCCCGTTTTCCAGAATAGCATGAAAATTTTGTCGGCCACGAAAAGAGAAGTGGGCAACAATTTGTTCTTCTCATTTTATTTGGGTCAATTTATATTCGCGCAAATTAACGATCCCACCGACTTCTAGCGGTTTGGATATCGCAGCGTTTGAAGGCGTCTATGCTTATCGCACGAAACGAGAAAAGGAATTCGTAAATTACGACTCAAGAATAAAGTATATGATTTTAACACTTTTCGTGAAAAAAAAAATATAACCAACGGGTACGCCTGCCTGCTCGCGGAAATGGTAGCGTATGTAATGTAATGTAATGTAATACTCTTTATTGTACACACCATAAGTTAATGGACAAATATACAGTAATCAAACAAAGTAGTACAATTGGCGGCCTTATTGCTAAAAAGCAATTTCTTCCAGGCAACCTTAACATAGCATACAGGATACAGTTGGAAAAATTGGGTAGTCTATGGTGCATTAAGAAGTCTACAGGTAACAAAACATTAAGCAGGAAAATTGTTTATAATACATAAACATACATAGTTACATATATATACATTGATACATAAATACATACATATACACTTACTTAAGAATACATAGTACAAATACACTTACTTAAATCATAATCCTATGACTGCTGCAATGAATTCAGTGATAAATAGTGCTCCTTAACTAATATTTTAAAATTGTTAATAGTTTGTGCACGCCTAATATCCTCCGGCAATGCATTCCAGAGGCGAGCAGCTTGTACTGTGAAAGACTTGTTCAGAAATTTACTTGAATGCATTGGTATTGCCAATCACAGATTTTCCGACGACCTTAAAACTCGTGCGTGCGTATCGTGAAGGAACGTGAAGCGTTCCTTGAGGTAAGCTGGTGAAAAAGGATTGAATAGAATACTGTAGACGAGAGAAACAATATGTGCATTCCGGCGAAGACGAATTGGTAGCCACTTGAGCTTAGTACGGAAATCGGAAACATGATCATATTTGCGTAATCCAAAAATGAATCTGATACAGAAATTTTGAAGCCGCTCAAGTTTATTTAATTGCTCTTCAGTGAGGTCAAGATAGCTGACATCGGCATAATCTAGAATAGGAAGGAGAAGAGATTGTGCCAGCGCAGTTTTAGTGGCAATTGGTAGAAAATTCCGTAATCGTTTTAAAGACCCAGCTGCAGCAAACATTTTACGGCTCATTTCTTGTACTTGAGGCCCCCATGTGAGATTTTTATCAATTAAAATGCCCAAGTTTCTAACACTCACTGGGTGTTAATGTAATATTATCAAACATGATTGCAGGTAGTTGTGTCCAATCGATTTTATTAGTCTGCGCAGAATTACCAATGATGATTATTTGAGTCTTGTGAGGATTTACTTTCAAGCCATATAACAAGCCATATAACATTGAAAAGGCTATGATTTACGTATGATGTAAATCATAGCCTTTTCAATGCAAACAAACAAACCAAATAAATTTTCAAATCTTCATGATGTTAGTATAGATTATATTATAATGAGTATGCGTGAATATTTTCTATTTGTTATGCAATAAAGTTAATTATTATTATAAAAGTCGGTAGAGACTTAGGAATCCTGCTTTAGCGTCCCGTTCGACCTATGAAAGTTGCTTACATTCTTTCGTCGGCTAAAAAAATTTTATGATCAGCAAATGGCTGAACCGATTTCCTTTAATCAAGGTTAAGGATATTCTCATTTAAGTTACCTTTCACATTTTTGTATCAAAATCTGTCAATCCGTTTAGTAACCACAGTGCTATAACAAGAACATACAGTCCTTTCATTAACTACAAACGCAGATGATCTTCAAATGATTTAAGACTTTTTCTGAGTCGCAGATTAGAAATCTCTTTTTCTACAAAAAAAAAAAGACCAAAGTCGCTTTTACCGTACCGTTACAACGACGCCAGTGATATATATATATATACCACTAATATACAGAACGACAGATATGGCATACATCCCTCTGTTTGCGTCGGGGTCTTAAAATGGTAACAAAATCACTGGCCTGGATTAGATCATCTCTCTAAAAGCTGTACTAACAGCTACAGCATTCCTGCGCCTACAGTGTAGGATCTTACGTCATTCATAGTCATCGAAAAAAGCTTATAATTGCGGGTTGATAGACAAGTATGGTATAGTTCCCTTTAGTGAAAGTCTTTTGGAAAAATAATACCGAATACGGAATTGTAAGCTGTACATTTTACTGTAGTTTAAGTTATAATGTTGAACTGGTATGTAAAAGCTGCATGACCTTTTACCCTATACCCTGTATTATTTGATTTATAGTGAAGTGTCTTCCCAGAGAAATATTTATTTTAAGTAGTTTTTGTTCGATAATATTTGATTAAGTACTAAATAAGAAAATAGATAAAGTTTGTAATTTTCGTTACTACTAAAATTTTAAGATTCTTTTAAATAAATATATTGTGACCAGTCCAGGGTTAAGACATGCATACGGGACGATTCCTAGGGGCTTAAAATTCCATAATATCGTAACATTGAAATGGGTCAGCAGGTAATAGAGGGGCTCCCATCCGGCGCGCGCCTGCGTTCATTTGCTTTTTGCCCACCTTTCGACTCGCGCGCAACCTCCACTATTGTTGGCGTGCATTTCTCTCGCGTGGGAACTGTTGACTTTTTCGTGCTTTACCATCGGCTTCATTCACCCACGCCTACCGCAGGGGTCGCACGTTGCGATGACTCTCTGAACTCTAGTGACCCGTGATAACAGTCGCGTGTGATATGAAAGGATTAAGGCATGCGAGGTGATGGACCCGGTGAAAGTTGAGTGATGATCGATTAGATACGGAATCGATAAAATTGGAGACCATGGCCCTTGCGCCGGTGAGTTACGATGCCCTATTAAATTAAATTTACGATACGACTGGTAGTTTAAATCTTTGATTAGGTTGTTATGTATGTGACTAGACACAATATATATCAAGCCTGTTGAGATATAGTAAGTAGTTCTTTGATATATTCACTTTCGGCTCTAATATTTTCATAAGAGACTGGACATTTATTTATTTATTTCTCAATTATGCACCAGCTTTCAGAATACTCCATCACACTGGCTCATTATAAATTTGTCATGAGAATTAAAATTTATCTACATATATATTTCTATGTAAAATAAGTGAACAATTAGTTGCCTTATGCATGCTTAATAGATGATATGGTTTCCTGTGATCGCGTTGAAATCTTTTCATCGATAATAAAAGTTTGAATATTTCCGTTACTTAGTTCCGTATATTATTTAAAAATACTTTTCAATAAACAAAAAACTAAGCCTTGACTATTATTCAGAACTTCTTATAATATTTTAAAATAAATAGTGAAAAGTGGCATGACATGACTAAATAAAAACAAAGAGTAATGTCTATGCATCAAAAAGATGAATAATTTAGCCAATGATATGGCAGAAAAATCATCATGTCTACTTTTACTTGTTTATTACATGTGAAAATTTAAGCGATTTTTTTTACCATTTTAGACTAAACTTTTATTATTTATTTTTGCATATAATTTATAATTTAAATGTTATATTTAAATTTCCTATAATTTAAAAGTGACTATTGATTCTTTTTCAGAAGATTTATTACAGGTGTTTGTCAAAACTATGATGCTAAATTAGTTCTGTGTATCGTTTTCTTCATATTCAAAGCACAAGTATGTAGAAATGAAATTTTAATTAATAACTTCATAAAATCCGTTATCAAACTTTGTGGACATAAATATATTGAGTGGATTTTTTATAATATATATTATGGTTTGAGACTAGAAATTAGTAAATCAGTAGAGAAGACTTTATTCAGGTCGAGACAATAGCCTAACAAGTTGCACAAATGTCCATTAAGGTTTAATTACGATTTAAGCTCTAATGAATTTCCTATATTTAGATTTTTTTACTGGAAATGTCTCTTTAAACTAATGAGAATTTTGATAGACTTTTGTGTGTGTCTATTTACTGTCTTATAAGGAATTTTCGGATTCAGGGATGCTTCATCTGCACCGCCATTATGTTTTACGACAGTTGATGTTACTTTTGACATAATCTAATCTAGAATGGCTTCTGAGTAAGCTGTAAAAAGTAACAGCTCATTAACAAAAGCTCCGCTAGGAATGCCTACCGTAAACATTTGACCCTTTTTCGTCAGGAATTCGAAGAGGTCTGATAAAGCCTTATCTTTTGAACCCTTGCTTAACGAGTGTGGAAAAACGGATGTCACTTAAAGGCTTTTATGTTTGAAAATTTTAAGTGTTTTGTTCTAATAAGCAAATCTTTCAGTCACTAATTAGTCATCTTACGGTATGCTTTTATTATCTGAGCATCTGTTTACAGAAATACAGAATAAGATTTTTCGTTTAAAATGACAATATAGAAGTTGAAAAAAAAAAGTGTAATGGTTTGTTTTGAGATTTTATTAGTCAAGATAGTGCTGTGGTTTCAAAATCACAGCTCGTATTTTGACACCAGGAGTCAAGAGAAATTTGAGAACGAGTTTATGTTTGATCTTGACGGAGAGGCCGATGATTATCAGTTAAACTTAGCTGTATTATCACGAAGATAAAGTTTCCTAACATTTAAAAAAATAAAATGGCTATATTTCTTTCAAACTATATAATAAATTTATCTTAAAGTTCATCGTTTGTATTAGAAAACGTAAGCGATTTATAAACAAATACAAGGTGCATGTCTACTACTAATATAGTTTATTATGTAACCATTACAGTATTAGCATATTTTGTTCGGTTTGAAATAGTAACATAAAGAGCGCGTGAAAATTGAAAGTGATTACTTCTGCGTGCGCGTCGCGTTCTGTAGTAAAATACGTCCGCATAATATCGGACGTGCTATGAGGCCGGTTAGCGCTCGCACGCAGGTTGCCAGGACCGGATCGATACTTTTGTCGATTTTAAGTGAGGATATGATATATAATTTTAAAGAAGACGTAAAAATGAACTTTACGTGCAATTTTCATAGAGTTAGAAGAATGTTAAATTATTTTTGTTTGAATGGTTTCGGAAGAAAAACGAAACAATGAGACAATTAGTTAAAAATGTCTAGATTGAAATTGATACTTTTATATTTTTTTCTGAAATTAAACCCTACTTAAATATTATTCTAAGAAATCTAATAAAATTTTCTATATATTTTACCAATTACGATTTTTATATTGATGGGTATTGTTCCATATATTATAGTATGGATAATATCATGTCTAATATAGTGTTGTACGGTATTCACTATTTGTCTTTTATTTTTCTATGAACTAAATCCGGTACTGTCTCTTAACAGCGTTCTAATTAAATGTATCAAGGAAATGTTTGAAATGGAAATTATAGGAACTATTAGACACAATTTAAACATTACCTATTGTTATTTTTCATGTTAGTAACTTATGTGGTGTACATTCTATGATTGGAGTGCTTTGTTTGTGGCTAATCAAAGATATTTTACAGAGAATTTGTTGCAATATTATGATTGTTCCAACAAGAACAACAAGATTGATATTTTAACATGATAAAAGAAATTTAAATTCAAAAGGAATTTCGACGCGTATGATTTTTTTATTCATTCACCGATTTCTCTGCGAATTGTAAACTTTTTTTTTAATCGAAAGCTTAAGCTAATATCTGATTCGATATTCCCAACAAAATATCAAGCTACAGGTTTCTTTTTATAATAAAATAATTGAAAACATTCTGCTAAATAACAAACAAACTTGATGACATATTTACATCATCGAAGAAAGCAAATTTTTTTTTTGAAATAAGATTATTACTCGTAGGTATATAATCTTTAAAGAAAAGGTATTTTCGAATGAGGTCGTTCTTTTTATATTATACATAAAACCTCCACCCGACTTCTATTCAATTTTCATTAATATATGAACCGCCTTTTAAGATGACTATTATTTTCGTTTGGTTTCTTCAATAAATTTTTAACAGACAGACGGTTGGACCTGTTAAAGGTCTAAGTGCTAAAATTGAAATTAAGATCATTATTAGGAATCCGCGTCTCATAGCTCACAGCTCACGACAAATAGACTGAACACAATATCTCCGGTGCTCTTGAACGATTCTCGGATCATTGTTCTTGGCAATTGTTAGCCTGGGAACCCATCGTTGTAAAGGTCGTGAAAGCGCGTTTCTCATCCACTGTGTAGTAAACGATACGCCACTTAATGGTGACTGAGGTGTTCGTTTCAGAAATGCTACCGTTCTCACATATAACAGTTGTAATGCAGTATTACTCCTCACAGTTAAGCATTATGCCGTTTCTGTAATTAGCTTTCGTAATTTAAGTTATCTAGTCTTTTGCTTGTAGCTTCGTTTGGGTGGACTACGGAATTGTAATTCCTAGGGAAACTTTAATGAATTTAGGGTGTATAACAATCGTTATGCTTAATAATTATAATATTTAGCGTTTAGTAGCGTTATATAAATAGTATGTTAGGCGATTTTTCCTATTTTAGTGCTAAATATCCAAGCTTTTATCTATGATGTTAGAATTTTGGTCGAAATACATCCACATTCGCTTCAAAAAGGAAATAAATAGTACACAATTTAACGTTAATAGTTGAAGTGTTTTTGTGTTTAGTTAATCGGTATAGTAAGTAGGTAAATGAGTTACGGATAACGATATCAAATATAACTGTGGTCATTTTATTTATTATCTTCGAAAACTATTAGGTCATAGGTATAACGACCAAGAATATACACATTGTACAGGTATATAAACTTTTCGTAACAAAAATTAAGAAGTATTACAGATTTCAATGACTATAACAAATAATGACAACATTTGTTAGCAATTTTTTCCGCTTTCAAAAAAAAATATATACCTATTCATTCATAAAATGCACCTATGACTCTCTTATATAACCTTTCACCCAGAATTAAACGATTATCGTTTATGAAATAGCTCTTTCACGATTCCTTAATGTTACAACATCAATTTCAACTTACTAACATTCTTTATAAAGTTTTTGATACATTTTATTATTTACGCTCTTACATTATAATGCTAAGGCTCTCATGATGATGGTAAATATTGTATTGAATTACATGTTATATTTGCTCAATTTTCTTATTCGCAATACTTTATGTACATATTGATAAATATCTATATAAATTCGCTGACATAGACTAATGATTTTTATTTTTTTTTTATTTACAGGCTGATACTCACTAATAATATTAGAGATATGTTAAAATCTTTTCAAACAATTTACTGAATAGGCGTTGTCTTTGTATAAGTTTTAACACTTTCAATGTGATTGAACCTATTGTTGCATTTCAATAGATAAACAACTTGAAGTTTACATATTATCTGTCAATCAATACAGTGTATATTTGATCGACGTAAGAACTCCCATCAATCTTGTTATAGGCGTACAGAATTACACTTACAGAACCGGTTATAGTCCGCCGGACACCTACACAGAACAAAGCATGGCATTCACTCTCAATTTTCATCCGAATTGTCTTCATATGCTATTAAATTGTTGTTTATTGATATTACAACATTGAGAAACATGGCCTTGAACTGACTAATGAAGTTCGGTTCTTTCATTTTTGGTTTCGAAGATTGTTATCAATTTGAACTAATAGATGCTGTAAAGAAATGAAGTAATATTATTCCCGCCTACGAAATTAAAGATTGGTTGGATATTTGTTCATATTTTTGTGGAACGTTTAAAACTATTATTTATGTATCTTAATGATAATATATTGACTGTGTGTGAAGAAGTTACTAATATCGGTACCTTTTGAAACTTTTTTCTCGGCTCTTACTTCCAAGTACTTAATATCACAGCTATTAGATACGGAATGTCATTACGATTCAAAAATAACGATTTATTAGTTGATACATTTGATAGTTATTAGTTGGAGAACCTAAATAAAAACATTGTTAATACACACTTCTATAGTTAAATGTTCCGGTCATTAGTTTTTCAAGGAATTTCGGAAACCTATTTCATTATTTTCTATAATCTGTCATATCTATATAGAGGTATATTAACATGATACCTAATATTGAAAGCGTGAATAAAGCTATATATTGTACATGATTATATAAGTACTCGAGTAGGAAGGTCCTTTATTAGAAAAGCTATTACAACATAAATATTATTGATTCCCTCAACAATATTATGCTTTAAGAATACTGTCATATGTTTGAGTGATGATTTGATCATAATGAAATGCCAGTGCACAAGAAATACATGATGATGACAACAGAAATTAGAAGTGAAAGGTCACAATATGTTTTAAAATTCCATCATCATACTATGCTGCGGATGTAATAATGAAAGTGATATTATAATACTTTTTTTTTTCTAATTAAAGGTAATGGGATCGGAAACAATGTCAAATGATACACTGCAAATTATTTTTTGTTAAGTTATTTCTACTTTTTTGATCATAAACGTGGAATTGTTTTCATATTATTTTCTAATCTACTAAGCGCCTCAACTACTAAAATACAGATTTATAACGCACAAAGAAATGATTATACATAATATGTTATCGATATATAGCATTTTTATATGTAAATTCATTTTCTAATATTAAATTTTCATACAGAGATGAATTCAAAGGTAATTAACACCCGTTTACACTAACCTAGAAGAAGGCATAGCTTAACCACGAAATACCTATCTTACCAATCGCCTAATCAGATTACTCATTAATTTAATTCCAAATAAATATTTATTCTTTTAATCATTAAAACATTTGTGATGTGTCATATTACGGAAATGCTTAGGGCAAATAATAACTCATATCGTGACTTTAGACATTACTTAGTCGTTTAGGCAACTCCTTATTTTAGTGAAAACAGGCATGAGAGTTTGCAGTATTCTCTCTTAATTAGACAAGATGATAGTCAGATGGGCAGGTTCGTGTATCTCTTGTGAAACCTTAACTATTGTAAGAATCGTCACCAGTATTGTCAGTACTTAGATCAGAGATTAATAGGTGTGACATGTGAGTCGCTGGTTGGTGTCTTGTCACGATTTACTTTCTCCTCTTGTTGCCATACTGTTTGTTTTTAATGTATCACATTTGGCCCAAGATCGATCATTGATGATTTCGTTGAAGTACGACAATAGCACATAATTTTCGCAGACTATTGTTTTATCGACATGGCTCTGGCATAGTTGCGACGTAAGCATACTTATGATTTAAGAGAAACTTAGTTATGGTCGGCTCAAAGTTGGTCCAGTCAATGGTCATGTACCTACTAGCTCTCTATTATGAACAAGTAGATATTTTTTGTAATAAGAAATTTTGTGCTGTAATCATTATAGTTAGTAGTTCAATAAAATGATCAATAAATAAATGCTTATCAGACATTATAAACAATTATTTCTAAAGTCACTTGATTTATAGTTCGAGAAATTTATCTGGTTTCATTAATGGCCTAATGATGATGATGAAGAAAAATTGAATTATTGAGTACTATCTAGAAATCTGAAAGACCATAATACTTATTAGACAAATGAATTCAAATATACCTGCCTATTCAATAACTCTATTATATAAAAGGTAGGGGTCAAATATACGTGCATATTCTTCTTTGGATTGAGTTTAAAAAATTCTATTTCGATTCTTTGTCACAAAAAAGATTAAATATGTTTGCCATGAGAGTGTTGGGCACAAACATTTTGTTTATATGTTTTATCAACTAAACAAAAAAAGAATTGGACAAAAGGTGTTTGATCACGAACATTCACTGTTTGCCAAGATTGAAGTCACGACTAGACGACTTTTCAATCAATGTTCAGTACACGAGACAAAGTATTTTCTTATTTTTTAGGGTTCCATCTTCGAATTTTACTTGAGAGATTTTCTATAAAGTCAATTTCGTTATTAGGCTTTATATGTATGTAAGAATGTTCATCTATTCCCTTATAATTCAGAAGCTACTTATCTCAACTGGACAAATGAGTATCATTAGAAGCGTCTTAGTTGTCTGCGTGCTATAGGCAATGATATTACATTAAATTGGCACCAGCGCCCTCTAGATTGCATAAAGTAATCTAAAAAAATATAATTATTGAATAATTTCGCGTAGGGAATCAAATGAAAGGGCTCAATTAGCGTATTTTAATTTTATAGTGATAGCTTTTTATTACGATTATGCTTAATAACACCCGAAACAATCAAATAAAAAAATAAGTTGAAAATCTAAAACCTAAAACACGCTCTAAAAAGTTTAAAACCAGAAATTAATTTTATAGTCATAGCTATATTATAATAGAGATGACCAAAGGACAGCGTATCCGTATGCCATTGATCTTAACAAAACAAAATAAATTTCTTGTTTCAAACGTGAGATCGTGATGTAGTCTGGTTTTAGTTTTTGAACTTATTTTTTAAGTTATAGTAAAAAGTATAATATTGTCTAGTTTCATTAGTTGACTATGGTTATTCAAGTTTATTTAATTTTATTTGGACAAAATTTTGCTGGACCTTTTAATTTTCAATGCTACTAACGAAAAATATAATCAGTCTTATTTTAAAACGGGAACTAAACTAAGAACTTGGGTTAAACCATTGGCCACCTAAATCAAATTTACAATGATAAAACGAAGATAAAACGTCTAATTGAGAAGTTTTGGCTTATTTTGTTCAGATAATGATTTAAACTTGGTACTAAAGTTAGTTCTCGTTATATAATAATAAGACGGATTATGTTTTGTATTAAATCATTATACGAGTAGTGTGTTAAGATTATACATTATTAATTTTGTTTTTTTTTCGATGAACATTAATCGAAAGATTTATTTTTAATTGACCTGATGACGTATTAATAGTCTATGATAAGTTTATTAAACTTAAGCAGTCCAAGTCCAAAGCTCTTCACCTAGTTTTCACTTTCGCATGTTTCGGGCATGAGAAAATCATCATTCGTCTTATGTCATAACAAGAAAGCATTGCGTTTTGTCGAGCAATTAAGTAAAAGTTCTTTTGATGCGCCGTGCGAACTGGAACCCGGTGATCTTGCTTCAAGATGACCTGTTGCGGTCAACTGGAGCTCTTGCTTGGCTTGAATACTAAGGGCCACCATTGTTAACAAGATCAACGGTAAAAAGCAACGGAGTTTTGAAAATAAAAACACTAACGAGTCGCATTATGTCATGTCCGAAGATTAATGACGTTCAATTAGAAATATATTTTTAAATGTACAAAGTACCAACTAAAATAAAATTTTGAACGATAAACTCGATGTCGAGCAAAGCCTGTGAGCATCTGTCACAGCATAAAACTTCAATCAAATAAAACCTACTACAAAAGGTAATAAAAGATTAATTTGATTGAAGCACTGTCACAGCATAGTGACAGCGCTGCTATGTGTTGAAGACCGGCAGCAGAACCACTTCTTATATTTGATTATGAGAGAAGTAATAACTTGAGAAAATGTCATAACTTAAGAAAATATTTCTTACCAATAGACTAGAGTTTAAATGAAGTAAGAACTGTTAATAGTTAATAATAATATTATTTTAAGTATTAACAGTTCATTCATAAAAATGGTTATTTATGTTGTAACAATATTTGCTTAAGTTATGGATGGCATTAATTCAAGTAATTATTTATCTCGAAACAAGTGTAAGTTTAAAACCCGACTAAAAAAATTATAGCGATAATTATATTCCAATAGCGGTGATCAAAATATACCACAACAGTTTGTTTTGTTATGATCAGTGGCAAACGACTACGCTGTCCTTTGGTTATCGATAATATAATATAGTGTTTCAATCTTTTCAGAGCGTGATTTAGCTGTAGTCGGGTTTTAAATTGTGACAAGTGGTATCGTCAAATAATAGGACACACACTTTTTCATAGTTTTCTCAAAGAGATGGCGAGATGTCTAAGTATGAATGGAAAAACTAGAACTACGTACCGATACGCTATATCAATGACTGGTCTACCAAAACAACAAATATTTTTTGTTGTTGTGGTTGGCAGAACGCATGATTTGTACTCAAGTGCCTAACTTGGACAGAACGCATAACTTGTACCCCAAATAAATTGAGCAAATTGATGAAACCTATTTGTTGTTTTGAGCCTTGCAGATCTTGATCGGTTCAGTTTAACGATAGATCAACAACATATTTATGTAACAGAAAACTTTACAAACATCAATCGTAAACAATATCAACATAAGATTATATTTTAATTAAAGTTATAGCGTCTTCCTATAGTAACTATAAGCGGGATATTATTATGAGAAAAGAGAAAAGTGTAAAGAATGGTCGTGAGAAGCCGACACAATGGCTTCGATATGTCACGTCTCTGTGTTTCACTGTATTTTCTAAGTAATTGCTAAATTAATACTAATTTACATGTTGTGATTAATTGCTCGTTGAAGGGACCTAGATAAGTTTGCATGCAACCGGTCACAAATATTAAATAAATAATCGTTCTATATTGACCTATGTACCAAAATTACTTAGCTTAAATAATGATTTAGTTGTTAATCACAATGTTTGATGATTTATTTTTTGTTTCAGACACTGCAAGTACTGTTATTTCTTGCAGTCGCAAGATGCAGAGGTGATACAATCAATGGATATCGAAATGGAAACGTCGCTTCTCAATTTGGAGAACTTTTAAAGCCACCGCCACTGCCTCCTCTAACTCCATTATTACCAGTGCCATTCCACGGGGGTTCAGGAAGAACGCAAAAGCAAAATGTTGATATTGGCTATCAGTACCAACCTCCGCCCCCTCCACCGCCACCTCCAGTGCCAACTACATCAAATTTTAAGTTTCCTGCTCCTTTTTATAAACAATACAATTTCAATTTCGTACCTCCTCCTCAGCCATTTACTACAACTCCATCACCTTCACTATTTCAAAAAGTATCAGGCTGGTTGTTCCCTTCACAACAAACAGGTTATGACACAGGCTTAAATAATATAGCTCCAGTTCGAAAAGACTGCAATCCTTGTAATTTAGTGCCATGGATACCAGTTATCAGATATGATTTAGGAACTAAAAACGCATTTAATAGTGTAAACCCACCACACAGTCAAGCAAATCCCACATATGGTCCACCTAGTCCGACCGCTTATCTTGATGCACAAAATATTGCTTCATTTAGTCCAAATGCTTATCGACAACAACAAAGTTTGCCGCAGCTTTCAACTGGTGTACCGCATGCTGTATATGGACCACCCCTTCAATCTCACGACAATTCCGTTGGTATTCCTAGTTCTACATATAGCCCTCCTATATCTACATATGGACCACCAAGTCCTACGCATACTATTTTACTTCCATCGCAAAACCCTATAAGTTCCACATTTTCGGTATATCATTCTGAACCAAGTTCACAATACGGAAATCCCACGACTTCTTTTGGTTATTCCAGTTCATCATTTAGTAACTCAAATCCTTCATATATAACAACTACGTCGACACCTTCTTCAACATATGGAATTGTAACACCTTCTGGGCGAGATTTATTAAATGATCAAGCTAAATATCAAGGAGATGTTGAAATTTTGAAAAGTCCAGATCTAAATTTGCAGTTGCCAAAAGTAACCCCTCCGACAAAGTTTACAAATTCATATGGAGAGACTATATCTAATAGTTACATAGCAGATATTCCTTACTCTGTCTCAGCTACAGCAGCAGAATCTACAAAGATTAAGACTGAAGTTTTGCCAAATAGTTCAAATCCACTCGTTTCTAATGTATCTCTTGCGTTAGCTAATCCAGCACCGTTCACTCTGAATAGAGGAAGAAATATTCACACATTACAACCTGTTGCTTTACCGAATCTTAGTGTATCTCCTTTGCCACCTATATTCAATGCCCGACCTTTCAGGCCTACGCCTTCACATTACTCTAAATCTCTAATCGATGGAATCAATTATATGCAACAGTTATCTAATAACGTTAAAATTGAGCATAGTGTTCCTGTTGCGGAATTCACACATTCTATAGAATATCCAGCCACAGTGGTTCAAGCACCTATAGTAGATATAAATGCTGCGAAGCAGACAAACCAAACAAAAGCTTATAGAAATATACCTAACGCGCATGTAGTAAATGAAATACGCGACATATCTTCTCAAGCTTCAGATGTTGCAGCCACAAAAATCATTCAAGACTCAAGTTTTGAAAGCACAGGATTGGATTTGGGAAATGAATTATACGATTCAGGAATACCTACACACTTCTCCAATACTCATTTACCTTCCAATCACAATGCTGAATTTGCAGATTTGAGAGGAGTAAAGGATGAAGACGTAGACAAATACAGAACAGAAAGCAATTTACAGAATATTGATTCTCCATTACTTTATTTAAAGCCGAGTGTACCACACAAAGGATATCGTGATTTTATATTAGCTATTTCTACACCAACTAATGGAAAGGAATATGAAATTTACGATGATGTTATAACAACAGAAGCGACACAAACAACTACCTTTTCCAATGATTGGTATGAAAACCAAAATGATTATAATGATGGACTATTGCCTCCAACAGCAGCACAAGAGAGCGTCGAAAAACCAAAAATAGTCCAAATAATAGTACCTTATACAACAAGTAAAGAAAACAATTATAATAAATTTAAATATGCGCAAGAATTGGATGATTGGGCGTATGCCCAAGAAGAAGAATTTCAGGCTAGAAAAATACCACTTAATACCGAAAACCCTTATACAAATACTGTAACAGAAAATTATAACAGTCTCAGCACAACAACTGAAAATAATCTCAAAACAACAACTGAAAGCTATGATTCGGAAAATTTGAACACTGGTGCAATTTTAAATGATTTGTATGACGTAAAAGAACCCCCATTCGATATAATAAAACTTCAACATACTATTGACGACTGGACAGAACAAGAATATTCTCAACAATACAAAACTGCTCAAAAAAATCGCAGCGTAGAAAAATTAGCTAAACAGATTCCTGATGACTATTTCACAACAACTATTCCAAGTACGTACGTAACGCCTGTTAAAACTTATGATGATGATTATGATCATGAAGGTTCAAGCAGTATTCAACATACCGTGACAGAGAAAAAGAATAATAACTTTTATAGAACATATAATACTATACAACGACAAAAGTCCAGACCTTATAATGACAAAGATGACGAAACACGAGAAAAGCAAAGGTTGCACATTTACACTGCTGCATCATCTTTTAGAGCGACAACTACGACTCCAGCTCCATGGGGTAAAATACTCACTTCTATTTCACCATTAACAAAAGAAAAAGTGTATGTGGTTACGTCAAAACCTTGGCGAGAAATTGGTAATGTGAGCGAAGAATGGTACAAACAGGAAGCTTTCGAGTCAAAAAGAACTAATGTTGATAGTGATGTTACCTCATCTGACAACTTACCATTCAAGTCACCAAGGTTTAATAATAGACCCGCACTTGGTTTTACTTCACTAGATAATAATGATTCAATGAATTCAGAATCATCCTATGAATTTTCTAAAAGCTGGTATCAAAGCAGTACGTATTAAAGTTTACCATGAATATTTAGATTTTTGCGTGATATATAGATAAAGATTTTTATACGTAAATTTTATTTTACAGTAAATGATCTGGAGAACCGAGGAGTTGGAATAAACACGACATGGCCAGAAGGTCCTACACCGAACCATTCTACTAACACGGACGAGGTTTCAATTTAATTATACTAACTTTGCAAATACATTTTAAAGTGTAGACTTTTTAATTTATCTTTAGTTTACTTTCTTCTTTATCAAGTATTAATTATTGATGCATTGTATTTATATCGCATATTACTACGTAATTTATTACTAGGTACTTTTCTTATTTATTTCTACTAATATTATAGCTGCAAAAGTAACTCCTATAAATGTAACATTTTTACACTTGTATCACGGGATTTTTAATTATAATAAATTTTGGTACAATAGGTTACTTTGTATCGTGAAATAAAGGGTTGATTTGATTGGGTTTGTATGGAAGAACGGCCGAAACACAGCTGAAGTCTAAAATTTCAAAATAATTTCAAATGTATACTTTTTTCTTAATTGTGATTTTCTAAATAATGTTGTTTTAAGCTTTCATGGTCATATACATTAGAATGATAGTTTTTTTCGGATTGCCACCATGTACCTTGTTTTTATTGATTTCCCGATATCTCGGCGCTGTTGCAAGCGCCATTATCACGGGGTAACTAAAGCTTTAGCGGTTGGGTGTAATAGGCAGATATACCTTGTTTCTAGTCCTTTTTCATTCGATACCCGTACCTCTGTTCACTATGCCTCACTAATTCGCACTAACTTTTAAGTGATGTTACTACAAATTTTTTTGTGGTTCGGGTGGTGATGTGAGAATGGAGATGTGTTGAGATAGCGGTCGGTATGTGTCGGTGTGCGGTAAACGAAATGGCTAAGTTAACCGTCATTCCTGGGCCCCACCCTCATGTGGAGGAATGCTAGATATAGAATGCTTCTGTTTTCTTCTGCCTCGCAAGTAAAGTTTATTTTAGGACACTAGTCAAGTGTTCGAGATGCAACTCATCAACACACCTCTTTCACAGTTTGAACTTTGATTTCCGTGGGTGTAGGGGAAAAGGCGTTTTCTTTCAAAATATTCTGCCCGTAACGACCCCATCTATTTAGAGGTAGTACTGCTCGTTGGAACAGTGATGTGATAGTTTTGCATACTCCATTGGGATGTTATTCTTGTGTAACTACACTTTCACCACTTCCAGACAATCCAGTACAGGGTAAATTCATGGAAAGAGATTCTACATCAAAACTGACCATTATCTCATTTATTTCCATCTTGTTGTGGTGCAAAATCTCTATGTGGTGACGGGAATCTTTAACAAAATACCACGTTTGTCTAATGGATGTAATACTGTCGCTACGTGTTTGGCCAATTCATATGTGGGCGAGTCAATCTGACTTATGATCGGACGTAGCGGCATATTATATTTATGAATTTTTGACAGACCATATAGTTTAGGAGGCTGGACAATTATAGGACTAGACTGTCATCTATGAATATCGGTAACTCGATAAAACAATGTACATGGTAGCAAATCCGTAAAAAACTATCTTTCTAGAAATGTACATCTATTTAAAGAAATGTACATAATTTTACGCTATGAAATTATGGTTTTTTATTTTAAAAGTTATTTTTTCTTTCAGGATTCAATCGATACCACGATTGCAGATCCTCAAAATGATCAAATTTAGAAGCAATATTAATGGATCGGAGAATAGCAATAAACAATAAAATTGGTTGAGGCAGTGCAGTGTTATAATGGTGATCACGGTGAAAAATTTCAATGTTAGTGAAAAACGCAAGTGAATGTGATTTACAATAAAAACTATTATTTAATAAGAATAATGACTGTTGTACTATGTAATAAATAGAAATAATTGTGAGTGAAGAGCAAATTAAGAAGAATACCGGTTCTGGATAGGATCGAGGTCTTCTTAATTTGATCAAGTAATAATATCTGTGACTAGGATAAGAAAAGTGAACCAAAGTAGGATAATAATCATAAAACATATTTGTTTATTTTATGTTCACTGAAAAGAATTTAAATGAAGATTGTATTCAATAAATGAACATCTCGTATTTTATTAGTCTCGTATTAATATTATGTTATTAAATAATATGAACAACTGTATATACTATGTGGATAACTTGTAAATATAAAATAAATATATAAAGCTATTTTAACTATTTTTTGTGTGCTCTTCAAAAAGTTAAGTTTAAAATAATTAAACTAAACTTTTTGCTGGCGGAAAACTTAATTTATTTTAGGATGTGAATTCTCATTGTTCATCATCATCTTATTAATATTCTTACAGCTAGGGTATAGGGTTTCCCTCTAGATATAATCCAATCGATTCAAATATAGAGAATAGGCTATGACCGTGTGCCCAGTGTGAACTGGTGGGTGTTAAAGGCTGCAGATGCAGGCAGGACCAACGGCGTAACGTGCCTTCGAAAGCAAACGGGTGCGAAAGCGCTCACCACCAATCAAGCTTATTATTATTGTTTGTATTAAATATAAAAAAATAATATATGGTCATATACAGAACCGAAATAATTTGAAAAGAAAAATAATTTGTTTTGTATTGGTTGACTTTTTATAACGAAAACATAGAATTTACAGCTTTCAAATATTACGTAAGATAAAATATCTGTAATATCAGATCCAGCACTTAAAAACTTAGTCCTTTCACGAGTCATCTTGTTCTTGAGGAATATTTTTTTTGTTGATCTTTAAATATAAAAATTCTGCACTCCACAATAACACAGTAAGCAAAGTAAAGATGTTTAACACGATGATTGGTATTCCGTATGATCCTGAGGCTTCACGAATCCGACCTGAAATTGAAATATTACAAAATTTAATCCAAAAAGTCACCTCTATCTTACTAACATTCGATTAAGGCACAAAGGCAAATTAAGGTTTAATGACGGCTTTAAGCTCAAATTAATTTGTCTCGCTAATGTTAGAAACATTCAATCATCTCATCTAATGACAATTTTAATAGACGTTTCTGCTAAGTAGTTTGACATGATTATCCAGAGATTACAAAATATATCGATGCGAATGAGTAGTAATGTAAGTGATTTGGATTTTTTAGATTTCCAACAATATGAAAGTTAATGATTGTAGGGTAGGTTGGATGGAATGGTCATACGTAAAAGAGCACTGAGGAAATTCACATTTATAACATAACCAAACCAATCGTAGTTTACTGTTCTATTTTTTTTATAAGTAATCAAAAATAACAGAAATTCTTTCCCGTTACTCAATCAAATGGAGCACTGTAAGTTTATGTAATATTTCTACAGTTCAGTACATGGATGGATACAGTTTATCATACAGTTGTAATATTCCGATAGTTAACAAAAACGAAATAACATTAGATAAGCCTCTATAGCTTGTTCAGCAATAAGTAAATAAATTGGTCCTTTTTTTACGTCGAAGAAATGCATTTGGCTTTACCCCTCCGCCTGGCAAGCGACAGGGGGAGTGTGGAACCAGATTACATGTTCTCCTTCGCGAACCCACTTCGTGGCTAGCCGCATGGTGCGTCCCTGAACACCTACCCACAAAAAACACTACGGTGTATCCTACCCTGGGAATGAGACCCGGGAAGCCGTGACCAGGAGGTAAGAACCTCAAGAAATTCATAGATTTTAAAAACATTATCAGTATATTTCTCGTTACGAAAGTTTCTTGATATTAACAGTTCAAAGTGACTGTTAACCTTGGTTTGATATGAAACAGTAAATTTGTTAGTGATAATATGAAATAATTAAGCAATAATATTTAATCATCCTTATCGACTAATCCTATACGTGACAGACCATTGCGTGCTTCGCGATCTTTAATGTTTAGGATAAGGATTCGTTAAGGCAAAAGTTAATGTAGATTGATATTGTAATGAGTTTTTTATATGATTTGTAATTAAATTATAGATAAGCATTTGTTACTAAATGGACTAAAAGACATTAATAAATAAAAAGAGCATATTATTTCATTTAACAAATGCTCTACAGTCGTTAATATCCACCGATCTGTATTGACCCGCGGGGTGGGTTATGTTACATTAACCTTATTCAATTTCCAGAATATAAACTTATACATTTATAAAATCAACAAAAGATTTTTTATAGCTACACTCATTATTTCTGTTCGCATACATGAGGTTGGGAACTTATCATTCAATGTCTGTATAGGAAATTTATGCATGCATTTACTTTAATTATTAACAAAAATAAAATGCTTAAAAATAATGTATTTACGGTTATGTGAATGATAATAATAATAATGAGTATTAATTAAGAGATGAAGCTGTACATTATATATCGCGGTGTTATGTTTTATTAGTTTTGTTCAAAATATTTTGACATTTCCCTTGTAAAGGATGTTATTTTGTTTTTAGAATACAAAACTATGGTCAGTTTATGACGAGGTTTTATTTACCCTCAGTACCTCCTAGGACGGAAGAACATCGATTGTTCAATGCCCATATGTTTTTGTGATCAAGTATTTTAAAATATTTTAGCTTACCTAGTAAAGATCCAAGTCCAATTATAGTGATGCCATTGACAAACATTTGTATGCCCGATGCGAATGCAAGTCTCTCTAAGGGGATGTAGCTGGGAATCACGATGTTCATATAAACTGTTCTTAGGCCTTTGGTGATGCCCATTGCTAGAGCAACGAATATCATACCGATGAAGGATGTGGTGAATAGCATAACTGGAATCCCAAAATGCTACATTTAATTACATTGATTTATGGAGAGGAATATCTTATTACATTTAGGTGATAATAGGCCTGGGGTTTGAATCTCAAAAAAGGCCATTGCTCAGGTTTTTCCTGTATTCCTCTTAGGAAGATTTAGTGTTTTGTTTTGTTGTGCGTGTCTTGATCTGAGATTGATTCATAAACTGATGTCTAGTGGATTATGTTAGAAAATAATATTTAAGTATGTAGACGTGTAAGGTGTGCAGCATGAGGCATGACTAATTTGATTGCGGTCTTGGTTCAATTCTTTTCGCATACTTGATGGTTCACGAGTTTATACAATTACCGAACGTGTTAAACACTCCTGAAAACTTTGTAATATATCGACTTAACTAAATAGTATCCCTTGTTTTTGAACTATTGATAGACTCGATACTTTCGATGAGAATCTATAATTTCGACAGACCGGACGCAAAATTATCCTTAAAGTACAACATTAATCACTAATATTGTAAAGAGAAAAGATTGTATATTATTTGGAAAGAATATATTTTAAAATGGGTACGTGATGTTATAAATATATATAATATTTGTAGTTTATTTAGACGCCTACGCGTCAAAACATTATCTTAATGAAACATTGGGCGTTGCGGTAATTGACACGAATTGATAAACGTAGAAAATTACTGTTTTGTTATTACAAATTGTTATAATTGTGATACTGCGCAGGTGTCTGTTACATGTTCATTCCAGGGTAATTGAAATTTATGATGTTGTTATATTCTTTACGGGTCAAATTTTAAAGATCAAACAAATCAATCCGAATGAAAACAAAATAATAAGCAGGAGTCAAATCTTCAGAATTATCACATGTCGGATAGATTTGCTATCAGTCTTTATGTACATAGTATCTACTAATATGTTAGCAGGTACTATTTTAATCGATTTCAAAATCCAAAAGGAGGAGGTTATTTTCAAAATACGTTTTTCACTATATATCACCTTAATATATCATTTAGATGGTATTGTATTTCATGTTCAGCTAAAAAACATTGCATATTTTGAATTTATTCAAAAACCGAAAAGAGGATTTTCTATGTTCAAGGAGTATGTATATTTTATGAAAGTAGGTATGTCAATCAATTTCGCCTTGAATTGTGAACCAATTCCTATCAAAGTAGCTGTTTCCCCGCGACCTCGCCTGCGTAAATTATAGCCTATGTCCAACGCGTATTATGTAGTTTCCTGTGGATGAAAGACTTTTATAAATCGATCGAATAGTTTCAGAGTCTATCCAATGCGAACAAATAAGCACACAAATTTTTCTCTTTATAATATGAGTACAGAATTATTGGAAGAAAATATTTCGAGCAAATAAACGACCTTTTCTTTTCTAAGACTTTCACTATGTTGGATATTTTTAATTATATAGATCTATACATATATTATAAAGAGGAAAATTTTAATCTTTTGTTTATCTGCAACGATTAGGCTCCGAAGTTACTGGATTGATTTAAAAATTCTTTTATCTACGGGATGTTACATCATATGCGGTGAATATACATATACTTTATCCCGAAAAACAACAAATAAAGGGATGAAAATGAGAGTGGAAATTGTATAGGGAATTAAAATTTTACCATTCATATATAACATTGTTTACTATTCAATTTGTCATGTCATGTCATGTCATATGAATTGATATCCAAATAAACAGTTCCACGGGACTTCGCGGGCGTAGCTGCTGGCGGAAAGCTAGTATTTAATATTTTTAGTGTTACCTATTAAATAGTAATATCAATATCACTAAAAAGCATAAAATTAAAACTTAAAAAAAAATTTATATAATACTTATCTCAAAAGCGACTTATTCGAGAAAATACTATTGAAGCCTATCATTTAATGAATTAACCTATAGATGGCCTCAGATTTTGAGATACATTTTATTTATATTTTTTTTTAAGTTTTGAAGTCTGTTCCATTTTTTAAGTTTTTTTATTTACCTACTTACTTGTTCTGGTGAGAACTATAAGGACTAAGCCGATCATATACATCACTCGTGGAGGCTTTTGACACCATTCTCCTATAAATGGGGAAACTAAGCGAAATAATGTGTCCGAAAAACCTATTACAGCCATCACTTTGCCAATATCACTAGTCTCAAACTTTAACATGTCCTTCAAAATAATAGGCAGTAATAAAGAAAAGTTCGTTTCCACACAAGCGGCCACCGATAATCCAATTAATATATTTACAAAAATCGGATCGCGCAGTAAAGTGAGATCAAAAAACTGAATGAATTTTTGTATAAATCCTTTTTCCTTCTCAATTTTCTCGTTTATCACAACGTCTTTATTTTTTACATCACTATTCTTCTTTGTATCAGGTTCACTGAATATGTTGAAGGAACTACCCAAATTTATTTCTTGAGATTCCCACCATTTATATCGAGCCTCATGAAGTGGTGGCTCCGGAGATTTTTTGCTTATATCGGGATGTGATACAGCATTTCTGGTTTGTAAACTTATACCATTCGAAAGAGATCTCATTGATAAACTTTTTGGTGGATGTATTCCATTCTCTACTGATTCTTCTAGTCGCAGCTGGGAATTTAATCCTGTAATAGCATTATTAAAAGATACATAAAAAAGTAAGAAAAGATGCCTGGAAGACGACATAATTTTAAGTGAAATGATGATTTTGATAAAATACTTAATACTATTTATAACATAAACTATTATCTAAGCGATAAACTTACCAGTATGTTTCGAAGAGGTCGTTACACTACCGTTGATTAATTCTGCACTTTGTTCTTTAAGAGGTAATTCTTCTTCGTCTTTTGGAGGGTCTTTGTAGTACCATTTAGCTGGTCTTAACAAACAAGCCGCTACAAGGGAATGTAAGCAAAGAGCTCCTAATATAAGTACAGCATATCGCCACCCAAATGCGTACATGAGAGCACTCATAACCAAGGGCATGTATATTTGCCCTAATCCTGTGATCGACATTCCGACACCGATGGCTCTTCCTCTCTTTTCTTTAAAAAAGGAGTTGATTGCTAAAGTAAAGGCTGCCATTACAGATGCAACGCCCATAGCTGAAAATAAAGTCTTAGATATACAAAGTGCTTATTTCAGTTCATTATAAGCTGCTTTATTATGAGGATGTTCGATTGAACAAAATTTATAACATTGTAAAACAAATTGACTTGTTCTTTGATTTGTTTTCTTTATACGACTTTATTATATAGCGATTGTGCCTTTTGCTAGTTGACTGATTTTATTTGTATAGAAAAAATAGGATTAATTTTTTTATACTTACAGTTGATAATACTGTATGATAAAATAAAAATCCAGAAGTCAGAAGCAGCGGCTGTCAGTACAAGTCCAGAGAAGATTAGGACAGCACCAAATAAGGCCACTTTTCTATATCCAAATCGTCGCAACACCGGGCCCCCAAAGAAGGACAACAGCATACCGATGCCATGGTTGAGTGTAATGATGAGAGTGCCTTGTGTTGCTGTTAGGCCTGTCTCATCGAATGCTTCTTGAAAAACTAATCCGAAACCAGCTATCAGTGGTAGAACAACTACCTAATAAAAATGAAACATATACCTATACGGCTACTTTATCATACTATACCTAAATTTTGCATTCACAATGGTATATTGATATTTATTTTAAGAAAAAACAGTTAAAAGTTACTTCAGTCACCCGAGTTAATCGGGTCACTGAAGCAGGATTTGAACTCTTAATCCTTCTCTAATCGGGTGATAGTCCTATCGTCACTAACGCGGTTGCGTTTTTTAGCATTTCGTATAAATATAATACAATCATAATTAAATGATTTCTAGATATTAACAGCAACTTTAAAATTTGGTAGAACTTCCACAAAATTGTAATCGTTGTCGTCGAAGTAGAAACTTGATATAACAGAGAAATTTTTAAGCTTACTTAAGGTGATGGTGATTGTAGCAGATTTTTACTCGAAACTTTGATGACAAAATCAACACAATGTTTTATGTATATATTTTTAAATTTTAGAGAAATGGCATCTTGTAATACCTGAGGATAATACCTACCTACATAGTAATACTGTGTAGAGGTTATAATGTTTTGTCATGTAATATTTATACAGTCTAAGACGCGTCGAGATAGGCAGGTAATATTTATCTTCGTTTAGCAAAAATTTTTCCTGTTTAAAAAAATTTAAGCCGCGCTTATCTATTATGAAGAATCGTAGGTAAATAAATATTTTTTCCCTATATATGCAAAATCCGAGACTGAAATAACTTTTACGTAAACGTGTTCATTGGTTTTTTAAATAAATATTTATTGATAATATATTACATTATATGCGTCATACTGAAAGTTTTGCATAACTTGCAGATGAATTCCAAAATAATATCAAGTGAATTTTAATTACCTTTTCAATCATTCAGATTATTTTCAAAATAATGATATTAGTCTGATCATGTCCTTCACTCGAGGGTTAAAAGCAATCACCTTATTTTGCGATTTTGAAATACCAAATTAAAGAGATCATGTGTGGGATTAGAAGGACATTGTTCACTGTGAGCCAAATCTACGGTTTCATTTTCCACCGCCGACAACTGATCTGATGAAAGCAAGGAGTTGAGAGAAAGCGGCCTGAATTGATCATTCAGTAAAAGTTAAGTAACTATGTCTGAGAGGTGTTAATGTATCCACCATATAGCAGTACTGTTAGATTTTTTTAGGCAATGACAGGTAAACATCGTAACGTAAATGAGAGAGGTCTTCAAAGGATGACTGTTGAAACTTCTTATCACGTTTTTCAGTACTGCATAAATTTCTACAGTGACTGAATAATTTCACCACCTACAAGATGGCAAAGAGTAAAAAGAAATAAAATTTGTCTACAAACACTTGGTTTTGAATCAGTATCAATGGTGCTTCTATGAACAAGAACTAGCTATTGGTTTTATATGATCTAACATTTTTGAGCATTAATGTTCGACAAATTAGCTAGTCAAAATTTCAACCAGTATAAGGCAAAAAATGAGTTTGTACTTGAAACTCATACATTTTGTCTGAATTTCATTGAAGTGGTCTATGGGTATTCATTTGTTTATTTCAAGGAATCACATGATCACATTTGTTGGGCGACCTTCTCAGATTTCTTTATGGACAGCAACACGACACTTGGTTGGAAAAAAACGGTGCGTGTATTTATCACAATAGGTGAATTTTCATCAATATTACAAATATAAATAAACAAATAAAATAGACAAAAATTCTATGTTTATTTTTACTTTCGAAATATAAAGTCAGAAATGCAAAACTTTCGGTTTGCGCTGCATAGAATTTAGCACCGATAGTTATAATAAATTTAATACTGCTTGACGGTGTAGTGTAATAATTTGAAATGCTATAAGTAGAATGAAAAATAAGATGAATGTGAAAATTTTGATACTTTAGAGGATGAGGATGAAAATTTAGAGGTTTTATGGAAGTATGATATTAGAAGATGACTTTTATTATGCATAAAACGTTGTCGGTAATGTTTGATTTACACTAAATTCAATAAGTGATTATAATTTCTACTTGAATAAGGTATTATACGCTGATGAAAGAAGAAGGGAACAATACAAATTGTTTTATTTGATCTGTTACAGAGTTATACTTACATTATTTAGAGCGTATGCAAATGTCACGACCCATCCGTACCCACCATCAGGTGGCACCTTTGTCACTTTACTTATCATTTCGTTAGCTAAGGTTAAATAATTTCACATTTCTCAAAACTGGATCACTGCCAGTGTTAAGTCAATCACAAATCATCACAAATTCACGTACAACTAATCGTCATCATATTAATTACTTTTGCACACCTTTTGCGAGACTATTGGCTGGTTTCGTATTCCGGCATCGGGTGAAGCAACACTTGTATACTCCAAAAGTGTAATGATATTATTTATATGACGACTAATAACGGATACTGTGTTGTTATCGGTTGACTTTAATAAATGTACTCTCTTATCAAGTTTGAGTCTTGTTTGCTAGACATGTTTGTTTTAGGTGTTAATGCCTCGAACGTTGCTCTAATTATACATTAGTGCAATACCTGACCTATAGATATAACTGTTCAGATACCATTTAGATGGCATTGGTCGACACTTTTGGGATACTCAAAAGTTGATGATAGTTATTCTTGTCTCAAACAATTATTTCAAAACATGTGAATAAAGTATTTGATTATTTTAGTCTAATTTGACTAAGATCTATAGGTAGCTGTATAAGATAATCCTCTTTTTCTATTTTTCGTTTTCAGCTCGCCATGAAATACACTTTTATTTTACTTTTACTTTTAGACTCCACATTAGATAGGTTAGAAACGTCGCCTAAACTGAGAATAAAAACATTGTAGGGCATTTTATAATCAGGCGTTATTTTTCGGAAGTCTATTGCAATAACTCTCAAATTACATTATTTGTGCCTATTTTGCTGAACTATTTTAATGTTATTTTGTTGTCGATTTTTCGATTACAATAATCGAAAAATATAATAATTTGTCTAGTGTGTGCCAGTGAAAGGAGTATCAGTACCGGTAAGATATACTACCACACTGTCCGTAAATAAAGTCATAGTAAAGAGGTGGGAATTGTCCATCGAGGGGTGAAACACAAGTAGAGTAATTGTTAATGATCTTTGTAGGGTTTTTTAAGCCTGTGAACGCGTATATGTTTAAAGTTTTTAAAAATCAAGTTAAACATCTATTGGATTGGTGTATATTATGGTAAACTTTTATTATTTGGTCATTTTTGGAATTTGTTTTTATTGGTAGCAATTCTGTAGCACAAACTAGACTTCACTTTTCGAAACTAAACAGTTACCTCAACCCGCAATGTATTAAAATTTGATATTTGACAGTTTTGTATAATCTAACGTGCTGTTTACTGTGCAACAGAATCGGCACCAATGTTTTCACTTCATTATTAAATTCCTAGCACTAATATTCACATGCAGCATGGTAGGCATGGCATTTAGATGTTTTTTGATAACACAGCAATCTTATGAACACGTGAAGCATGATAACTAACGAAATCAATAATTAGTTTTATCGGATTAAGAAGTAGAAGCAGCGATTGCCACGATAGTATGCATTATCAATTAAGAAGTCTTATCAGTATGGTAGGATTATGTAGGCAATAATTTTTATTCCCGTGGATTTCAATGTGTGATAAATTACAAATCTAGGGCGAAGTACATATGACTTTATATTGTAACTTAACAATGTACAGACAACAGTTTTTCAGATGATGACACAAAACTGAAAATATATTCAATAATAATTTGTTAATAGCAAAAATATAGGTATATGGGTTGCCTGTAAGAGATTGCTATCTAGCAATAAGGCCGCCTTTTCTTTCTTATTTTGCTTCTTTGTGTTATGTCCTCTGCTGTATTTAATAAAGAATTTATTATATATTAGTAATGGACGAGCTCTACTTTTTTAGTTCTAATAGGTACTAAAACATTGCTAATTTTGAAAAAAAATGTACAACAGCTGTTTTGACCGGCACGAGTAAATTGCAGTATGACTAAAGTCTGTTTTTTAATCTCAGAGACTAAATGACATATGCAAATGTTTAATTTAGAAATAATGATACCAGCTTTTTCTTGATTAGTGTCGACCTAAAACCGGTACTTAGGAAAATTCGGTTATTTATTATCATTATAAGACGATAATTTATGTATTAAAATGCTCACGATTAAATTGTTCATGATTAAATAAAAACATTTTGAAATCCATAATTCTTCACTTAATGTTAAAATTTTGGTCTTAAAAACAAATTCCCGTCGAAAGCAGTTGGTTATTTTTCAATTATATATATAGTTTTTATGTATAATGCTAGACTACGCGGGCGAAGGCGTTGGCGGAAAGCTAGTTACTTATAAGATTATTATAATTTAGCTTAGCCTATGTTACCTGCTGACGCTGAATCTTTCCATAGGTCAATGATTTTTTTTAAATCGGTCCTCTAGTTTAAAAGACTATCCGATGAAAACAAACAATTAAATCTCACTTCTTTATAATACTGGTATCGATAAAGGCTGTTCATAAGATGGCTGCATCGAAATTCCTACCCTCCAATCCACACTGGGCTAGCGTGATATGCATGCAGCATGATCAATTCCATTCATAGGGATGACCTATTCTCCATGCAGTGGGGACATTAATAAGTTGAGGATGACGATGATAAAAATAATATTTAAATAATAAATTTTTAATTGTTGTTGCCTTTATAAAAAAATATTAATTCAATTCCTAGTACTAGGATATTTAATACTATTGAAAATAAGTTGCATGTTGTAGTCATCCTGTTAGATAAAAATCTAATAAAGTTTATTTCTTAGAATCTGCAGATAACGTACAAAAATGCAACATTTTTAGGACTTTAAATGAACGACGAAAACGCCGTGTAATTGGTTGTCGTTGCAACCAATAACAGGTTCTGTTTACCGGTGTATGACGCAAACGTAAACGAGAAGCTCTTATGTCAAAACAGTGTTACAATTTGTAGCTCATTTTTATTAACAAAACTATAGTAAATACAAAACAAAATTTAATTTCAATTTTTCTTCTGTAATACTACACCCAAAGGCACAATTAACAGCCCACCCGTATCATTCATTACCCTGTTTGGTTATCACCTATTTTGTTTTTTGTTAAGTGGGTACTCGAGTAATAAATAAAACACTTATTACCATTATTTTCTTTCCTAAATTAGTGTCACCAAAAGGTTTTCGGAATTTTGACGTTGTATTACATTGTTGCTGTTGTGTTACCGAATTAACATTTCCTGTTATTTTCTATCATAATGGGCGAATATTATTTAATTTGAAATTATAGTGTTTTTTCATTATTTGTGATTGCAAAAAAATGCTACTCGATGCAATTGATGTTAGCTAGGGCAGTGGCTTTAGCTGATGCGAGATTTAGCCAGCGTCGTATCGCTTACACACTCTGTGTACCTTGAACTATGGTTAGAGATGCCATCAGACGATTTCGGAAGACAAGCTTATACACCCGAGGGCTAGGTCAAGGCCAACATCGATGCACTTCTACTCTATATGACCGTTTCTTTGTCAGCAATTTGTTGAAAAATCGCTATTCTACTGCTACCCAAGCTCGTAGTACGCGTCCTTTTGAGGTCTGTCAAAATGTCAGTGTCAGTGAACGTACCATTAGAAGAAGATTAGCAGAAAGTAATTTGAGGGGTTTTCGGGCAGCTCGCGCTCCTCAACTGCTCCCCACCGTAGAGCTAGACTTAGTTTTGCGCGAGAAAATGCTGTCTGACTGTAGAGCAATGGAAGAACGTACTGTTCTGAGATAAAAGCAGAATAGCCTTAAGAGGTCCAGATGGACGTAACTTTAACAGAAACAATAGGTTATCAGGGAGGGTCTATAATGGTACAGGGAGGTATCTGTTATGAGTTATGAGGAGGTATCTATAAAGGATCTTGTTGTGTTCGACAAAGAAAGTGTAAATGCTTAAAGATACATGGAAGAAGTTCTCCAAGACCATGTCATACCTTTCTCTCCGTTCATTGATAACAACTTCAGATTAATGCATGACAATGCACGTTGCCATACCGCAAGATCCGTCAGTGAGTACCTAGATGAGGTTGGGATTCAAGTTTTACTATGACCCACACGCAATCCCAATCTTAACAGATAATAGAGCACATTTGGGTCAACCTTAAAAGACGTGTCCGAGCAAGAGTACCAGTCCCTACTACTAATATAGAAGAGCTAAAAACGGCTGCAATAGATGAGTGGCACAATATCCCTCAATCGGATTTTCAAGACATCATGGATGGATTGATAAACCGGCTCCAAGAAGTCATAAGGGCCAGGTGGTAACACCCACTATTAATTTTCATTTTTTCTTAATTGCCCCATTATTTTCTTAAACTTTAAAATTTTTATTGAAGGTTTTAAGATATCGATTTTTGGTAAGCATCCTTTAATAAAAGACTTTTGCCAATATTTTTGTTGTTTCTTTTTCTTTAAGTATAGTTTTTAACATATTCCTTTCATAAAATATGGTCTAAGTAAGGCGTTTTCTGCGAAATGAAAGAAATAGTAGAAGGCACAATTTACCGCCCGTTAATTGTGCCTGTGAGTGTATTTGTTTGCTACGTATTGTAGGTTATGATGCCTCACAAATACCACGATACCAAATCACAATACCAATTAGGAGTTTAAAATAACAACGAATAATATAGCTTTTTTATTTTGCACTTACTGCTTAATAGCTTATTAACTAATGGGTCGATTTGATTAGTTTTTATAATCAATAGCCCCTTTCATAAAGACGATTTTGTGATATAATTTTTTATTTATTAGAAATTTGAAATAAAAAATAATATAGAAAACCCGACTTAAAATTCAGTAAATGTAAAAAAAATCATACAATCTTTAAAATGTAAGCAACCAAAGAATGAGAATTTTAATTAACCGAGCCTATATTATTTTAAAGATTCTTTATATATTGAGTTTTTGGTACGAGATTTATATTTATAAATAAAAAGTAATTAATTTGCAAATAAGCATTCCTTAAATGTAATTAAAAAAAATAATTGTTGGCGCATTACAAGTCAAAACTAATGGAATGCCAAGTGGGGCTTTTATCATTAACAATATCAATAACTAAAAATAATGTGTAAATTGAATAAAGCGCGCTTCATTCAATAATTTATCTTATATTAAACTGAAGAAAATGCAATCTTTACAATTACCATTTATGCAGTAAGATATTCTCTTTTTCTATAGAGTTTATCATACTATTATTCACTTCTTAAGTGGGTATTTGTATAGGTACATATTTTATAAGTGACTTGTAAGAAAAACGGTAATCTAGTATACTTTTACGTTTAAAGTTCGATTGAGGCACATCACTATTTAAGAAATGCAAAAACTTGGCAATACAGCAAAAGTCAATTTAGTCTCCGAACAACAGGCTTTAGATCTAACTTTTAGACCTATACGATACACCAGCACCAAAGTATGCTAGTGAACCAATCAGAAGCGCGTAGCGGAATAAATATTGAATATGAATAATACGTATAATGCAAATAAATTTCATTACAAACTATATCTATGCAAAAAGCCTTGGCCATTTATGATAAGGTATCATAACTTCGCGAAATAAACCTATCTCGTGTTCTAAAGCACTCGCTAATATTGAATTCATTGCCGTTTCAATTAAATGAGGCGTCACTAAAGAATATACCTACGTATAGTGTTGAAAAAGTGTGTTATGAATATAATTTTTATACAATACCTAATTAAAGAATATGACCAATATTCCAGCAAAGAGGTTAAGCGCAACTTTTCATATTTTTTTTTCATTTATTCTCACATCACTTAATGCACATTAGTTTTACGTTGAATGTCTTCTTTAAATTGGCCTTAAGCAAATTTTAAGTTACACGGGATATAAATCATTGTTTTACTTATGTAGAAGATATCTCACAAAGCGAATGCACGGACCGCACTGTCAAATTCTACAGTCTCCTGTTGACTGGCTTAATTGACAATTTGATTACTAGTTCCTGCCCCCTTGAACTCCAAGTCTGACCTCTATTGACAAAGGGCTTCAATTGCATTAAATACAGCGGCATATATTTACGCTATTACAAAATTTAAATAAGAAAATTGTTGAAGAAAAAAATAAAATAATAGACGCGTTAAATTTTTCAAGATAACATTTTTTAATAAAATTTCGACTTAATAACACTCAAACACTATTTTTATTATAAGTAGTGGTGAAATGTCAACAAATGTTATTTTGAATTGGATAGAATAAAAAAATTTATGAATTAAAATTCATAGCGAATAAGTTTCATACACATGTTACTACAATTTTTACATTCAAAATTGTTACTACGTAATTAAGTCTAGACTAGAAACAATTATTTATATTTTCGCCTGTAGAGTTATTAACATTTCGGTCCTTGTAGTCCAGGCGTCAGTAAATTCGAATATAACTACTGTAACATTTTTTTTTTCAAGCTTTTTCTAATTCTTGCTCTGTATTTATTTGACGCTTTGATCGGATGTATTTTTCAAGACCCCATGATAGCGCCGTGAGCCACGTGAATATATTCAGGCAATGTAAAGTTGTCGCTGTAGAGGCGTTGTCTTTTATCCATCCTGATTAGAATAAAATATATTTCAATATAATATCGAAATTATAAATAAAGCTATGTAAAAGCCTATACTAGGTTATTCTGATAATGTATATGAAAATCCAGTAGAGAAATGATTCATAAATCATCAGGGCAAAAGTGAGTCGAATTCGCACACAGGGAGTATCGCATAAATACAATATATATTTTTTTAAAGTTTTTTTCTTAAATTTATTTATTATATTTGATTAATTTTGCATTCACAACGCTATACTTAAAAATATTCTTAATGAAAAATGCTTAAAAAAACCATTTTGTGCGTGGCATTCTGAGATTGTGAAATTTTGAATGCAAAATTGATCAAATATATCGCTCACTGAATAGTACAGTGGCACAACTCAAAAACCATTATTTCGAGAAAACGCCACAACATTGTGGTGGCATCCCATAGATAATTTAAAGAAAAAATAAAAAACTTAACAGTAATAATATATTACAAACGATTTAACTGTTATGCTAAAAAAAATGATTTTCATAATTATAAATATATTAAATTTTCATAACTTCGGAGAGCGTTTCTCGAAATATCAAAAACCATTATTGTTTTTGAGTTGTGCCACTGTACTATTCAGTGAGCGATATTATTAAGAACAAATTTTCGCTTTCATTTGATACCCACATTGCAGTAATGTATAAATTATAACTATTTCGCCATACTGGATTTAGAATAATGTCACATATTTTATTATATATTGTCACCAAAAACTAAACGTCTATCAAAATTTCAGCTCAATAGGTTGAAGATATCTACTTCAAAATTGAGCTCAAAGATTCCACCCGAACAGACATACATACATTGCAAGTTAAATAAAAACTTTTAAAATATTCTTCTTCTTCTTCTTTTATTAATGGCTTATCTGCGCATTTCGCACAATTCTGCCAATGTCAAGTGAATAAATAAACTTCTACATGTAAAATGAAAATGAAATGAATGAAAGATGGCGATGATGTAATCACACATTTCAAAATCACACATATTTTGTGACGCGTCAGTTTGACGTAATGACATTTAATGTATCACAGAGAAAATCGGTTGTAATAGACGGAAAGACAGAAACACACGAGTGACATCTTTAAAGGTGTTCCATATTTATTTATTTTGGTTCAGATCCCTAAAAATATGTTTGGCGTATAATATACATAATAGGTATAAAACTAAGTTTGGCACTGCAAAATTATTCTTACCAACTATAGGACCCATTACAAGGTAAACAATTCCAGCAGTGAGTAATTGAATTCCAGAAGCTCCAGGTAATTTGTGTAGTGGCACATGTGTTGGTATAACTAAAGCCATAAATACCGTCCTTAATCCTTTGCCAAAGCCTATCATTACTGCAACCAACAACACGACTTGGTACTTTTGGCAAATTGAGAGAACTGCAATAAGAAAACACATTTAATAAGATATCTATTTTACGCGAATGTATGCTTATTTATAATTAATTTTTCTTGGTTTTAGTTTCATTCTTACCTACTCGACCCATTGCCATAGACAGAACCCCAAAAAGAAAAAATGAATTGTTATCCCATCCTATTTTCCCTGCTACAAATGGGATACAGAACCTAACACATAGATCTACACCAGCCAAAAGTGACATGAAGAGAGCCACTTCAGATTTGGTCATACCATAATCACCCAGGATAAAAGGAGTTAAAATCGAAAAATTTAACTCATTAAAATTTGCTAACGTTATGCCCAACATTAAATTGATAAAAGTAAAATCTTGTAATAGATCCAGGTCAAAGAAAATGGCAACTTTTTGACAAAATGTTAATTTTTCTTCTTCGAGTTCTTCTGCTTTTACTTTATTATCTTTGAATACATCATCGTCTTCATCATCTGATGGACCATTAATTAGTAATTTTATTTTATCGGCCCTGTTTTCTTCTTCATTATCTTTAAGATATTGTTCTAATTTCATGGAAGCTTGTTTCAAAACTTCACTTTCATAATTGAAATTATTTGATTTTTTCCTATATTTTCCTCTTGTAGACTGATTGCTATGATTGTCTTTTAAATATTTTTTGTCGTCATAATCATCCATGTTTTTAAACGAAACATTGCTATGGTTATCTTTCATGTATTTTTCTCCATAATTTCCATCCAACCTAAAAGATTTCATACTTTTACTAGTTGCTAAGTGTTGTTCTGCTCTATCAGCGATAATTTTTGCCTTTTCTGGGTCAATATTTTGAACTACTTCTTTTTCATCAGCTTTTAAATCTTGCGGAGCTTTTAATGTAGGACAATCTTCGATTTCTGATTCTGGTATTTTTTCCTCTACGGTTATCGATGTTTTTCGTTTTGGTTTATAATTATCACGATCTTGAACAAGAGCTCCAAGATTAGCAGATGAATTTTTCTTTGATTCGTTTAAGTACAATGTTGAAGATTTACGAGATCTACCTTCGACTAAATTTGTCATTGATGGTTTCTTTGAGTTCAAGCGCGAGTTTTTGTTAGAGCCTTCTCTAGAGGACAGTCTACTTCGAGACTGTCTCGATTGACTGAAATAACCATCGTTTGCTCTAATCATCATAGGAATACCAGGATCAGTTATTTCATAGCCAGGTGTTACAGAATCATCTTCATTGTAAAGGTATTGACTAGAGAAAGCGCTTAAATTTTTTAATTTTGACACTTGACTGAAATATCCATTTTCTTTTACATTTCTTTCTTTAATATTACCATTTATTTCTTGTCTAATAAGTTTATCTTCTTCGAGATCTTTTTCTTTGGGTTTCTTGCAATGCCATTCTACTGGTTGTAATAGTAAAGCACAAGCTATAGCATGTAGAGATATTCCAGCTATAATAAGTATGGCCCCTGTTTCTCCAAAAACAGCAAATAAACCGGTAATTATATGGGGCCACATCATTGGGCCAAGGCCTGTCGTAGTCCATGACAGACTTGTCGCTAATCTTCTTCGCTTTTTCCAATAAGTATTTAATGCTAGAGCATTAGCAGAACTACTGATACCATAGCCGGCACCTAAAAACATTTAGTAAATTGTAAGAAATAGGAGTAGCTCGGTGACGTAGTGGATTAGTCCATAAGCCCCGCGTCACGCGATCGTTGTTCTCAAGCAACTTTCGCAAGGGGGTGACCAAAAATAATTACCTCGAGCTTTTACTGGCTTCGGCTTAATGTGCTCTACATGAAGTCGTTGGCCCCTACTGCATTTGCCATCGTTAATACCCTCCAATCCACATTGAGCCAGTCTAGAGGGTTGTGGCTACACTCTTTAAACATCTATAAGGAAGGCCTGGCCCCTGCAATGGGGGCGTAAAAGGGCGATGTAAGAAACAAGTTTTATTTCAGTGGTAGCCGTTATAACGGGGTATGGTAGTTTCGGAAAAGTGATATCCAAATTTTGCAGAAGATTTTTAAGCAATATACCAATCATACCAAATGTTTATCCGTTTTAACCTAACTTTTATATCATTTTGTTCAGAAAATAGTGTAGGTATAATAAATGGAAGATTTAAAATTATTACCATATAATATGGAAAAGGATATGAGGTAAGTGATAAAATTGTATGAAAATGTTGTTAACATCAAAGCCGTAAAGACAACGATTGCACCCGTAAGTGAGACTTTGCGATAGCTGAATGTTTTAAAAACTGGACCATTTGCTAATCCTGAAACAGAAAAAAGAAAATATTTCAATTCTTATTTAATTGTGTTAATGTAATGAGGACTAACACTTAAAAAAACATAATTTATTATTAATGACCGTATTTTCATTAATGTTCGAAAAAATCAACTAAACTTAAAGATTATTTTAAAAAACGCGTACCGTCCCAATTCGTTGTAGATTTTGACTGATATGTTTAAGAAAATACTAGAAATGTAGGTAATGTATCTTTTTAGTGTTAAGATACAAGGTAAAGGAAGAAATAATAGAATTGCAAACATAAAGGGCCGGTATGGTATTAAAAAGTTACCATGCTACTCGCGTCACGCACCGACGCAAGAGGTCAGGGCTGAATTCATGTTGATTATGGTTGTAGTTTCCGAACTACTGATGCCGAGACGTGCAAATTTGTCGCGGAACAACAGCCCGAATTGTTGCAGGATTGGTAGAGCCGACAACTGAAAAGCCAAATATAAATAAATCGGTTAGGCGTCATAAGTATTTATATCAAGGTGTATTTTAATTTAAATAACCTATTTTATTTATTTATTTACATTGTATGTGCGCAGTGTATTAAAATCTATATACTGTGATATGCGGGTGACATGGTGAGAACAGCCAGTATTCAATATGGGCATTTTCTTGTTTTTCAGCAATTCTTAGTCAGCGACCAATATTGAATACTGTATCGCTAAATACAGCATGTATGTTTAATTTTAACGCTAATTTATTTAGATTTCCATGTGAAATTTGTACAATAATACGATTTTGTCCTATAAAATTCCTTAAAAATATAAATGTATCACCCAATAACAGTATAACCCAATTGCTGTTAATCCATATTCAAATATTGTCATTTACAAGATATTGTCAGCATTGGATACTCCAAAGAAGCTTTAATAATTACATTTCTAATTAGATTGTGTATATCATGAAATATGACCATCACGAATTCAATCAATTCTAAGATTTGTCCACGACAGATTTTACCACTTCTCTCAAACAAACGATAAACAGTAATCTATTACATGTCTTTTTTGAGTAATGACTGCATTGGGGATTTACCTACTATTCAGATACCATTTATCTTTGCGATTTATCAAGATCAAATTGCTGGTGGAATCAAATGTGTAGCTATAGATGGCACTGGGACAAAAATTGTGGTGTTCTTCCAGGAACGCCTTGTTAGCGAATCTTTATATGCAAGATTTTTATTTATTTGTAAATTTTCCGATTTTCGGTCATTTAATCATACCTATCCCTGCATAGATTATCGAGGTTTATTTAACAATTACACTTTTTTTAAAGATATTTTGTAAGATTCTTATGCGTGTAGATAAGGATTGGGATTTCCCATAACTTTATTCTTTTTTGTCGCTCAGGAAAACTATTTGTAGTAAGAAAGAAAACGTGTTTGCTATATAGCCTCTGAGCGATCTTGGATGAGCGCCTCTAAGAATTTTACAAACAAAGAAATAAATACAAAACAATATGATAGATGTTGTACAGCTTTTCCCAAACAGAATCTTGATAGGGGCGCTCCTCCCCATTTTTTAGATTATTCGAAAATTTTTATCATCTGTAATATCGCACCTGTTATCAGCACATAATGATATTTTTTTATTCATGTTTTAGCCCTAAACTCAGGAATGTATTTTGAGATTCAATGAATTCAGTTTAGTTTGTTTTATTGATGATTCTTTGAAATAATCAAATTTATCTTTGAGATCCGATAATAATTAACTGATTAATGGATGTCCGCATTTTACGTCGCGTCGTAAGTAGGTAGGTAGTCAGTCTTTTACCTACTTGTGTCTATAAAATAGGTATAATAAAACTTTACGATTGTGAAAGATAAGTTTGGTTACAGAGAACAATAAATAATTCGAATAAAATATCTATAGCGTTTTCCGGTGGGCACATAATAAATACCAAGTTGATAAGTTTTATGCCTGCTAAAGAGTACAATTATTGAAAATGACTATCATTCATACATTATTTTTGGGATGTAATGATGGATTTTCTTTAAAAATTCTTACTTATTTATATGGCGAATAGGCCTTACGGTTCTACCCCATAACACAGCCCCGAATGATCTATCAATAGGAGCCCTAACTGATTTATCAGATCAGCAGATTGACTGTAAGCAGAAAAAACAGGATAATTCAGTCTAGAATGTCCCAAAAAGAAAGAACAAAACGTCCAATTAAAAAAAAAAAAAATCCGAAATGTCTAATTTAGTATAAGGATGGGTTTGTTGAATTCACTAATGATTACCTCTGTTATGTACCAGCCCTACTCGAATGAGTTTTCGAAGTCTGTCTTAAAATATTAAACAAGCAATCTTGCAATAACAACATATTATAAATCTGTTTAGTAAATCCATCATGTAGCATCATGACTGAACATTTCGGATAATTAATGGACATTTTGGGAACTGGATATTTCAGGTATTGGTTATTTTGAAACTGTTTGACATTTAGGGAATTGGAAATTTTGATAACATCATGATTTATCCATAAACCAAAAAATTTTTTAAGTGTTTTCGCCTCGTATGTATTTTTCTTTTATTGATGATTGGGACCTTTTACAGGTTCCGTATTCACATTAAGGTGTTGTTTGTCTTTTTAATTAAAATTTTTATATTTTATGGAAACGTTGACATTTATTAAATTAAATTATTTAAAAAATACATTTGACTTATTCATTAGGCTTGGCTATCGTAAATTACGGCCAGTTCCAAATTTGGGAGTCTTGTCTGAGAAGTTTGTTTCATTTATGGATAGTCCAAGTGAAAATATAAGAAATCAATATGATGGCCTGACCGGTACGGTATCCTGCTGATAACTGACTTGTCAGTCTGATAAATTATTTTTGAAAAAATATTGCTTTAATATACGGTTCTAACTTATAAATTTCACAATCAAAAAACAGTTGTGGGAATTTTTTTACAAAAATAATAACCGTATCTCTACTTGTACACTCGTAAACATAAAAGCGGCGTTATTTAGCGCACTCTTCCCTATTTCTCTAAATGGCACAAACTTTTTTCTATTTTAAGGTTCAAGCTATTACAATTTCGCATCGGTGGTTTACATAAATATGGCAATTAAGGTTGATAATTATTTTAATATGTGAAGATAATCTACCTATTTTTTATGTAATTCTGTAAATAATAGACGATATTTACTTTAGCCAGGAAAACTATATGAATGAATACTTTATTTGACACCATAATAAAATAACAGAATTTATTGAGTATAGTGGTACAATAATACCTATAATTAAATATTTGCGGACCCTTCTAAGCACAAGGTTGCTCGTGTCGTAGATAGATGTATGAACCGATTGCATAGGTTAAAACGTTTGTAAGCTAGATTAATTATAAATAAAAAATAAAAATTAATCACTAACAATTAAAAATATTACCTACAGAAAACTATTAAAAAAAATCATCATTTCCAGGTGCCCGAGACAACATCTGCAAAAAATGGATTGTTTTACTAATTTTTTGCATATCATTTTGTGAATGTAAAATTTATCAAATATAATAATTGGACTAAAAAGTCGCTACCACGTGGACTTAAAATAGGATAATGCATTCTCCTTAGAGACACACTTATAGAGTATCTATATATTTCTTAGGCATTAGACCTTTTTTGATTTCAGATTTTTTCAATGCTTTTACAGTATATTTTTAATTATAAACTATATTTACGAGAAACAATTTTAAGGAAACAATTAAATAAAAATTTTACGAGTAGGTTATAGATACATAAACGGCGCTCCTTTTTTCTTGTCAATGTATTTCAGATATGAGTCGTTTATATTATTCAAGGCTGTACTTGCAACAATGTTATACCTATGTGCCCAGTTATGATAAAAGGCGAACATATGACAAAACATAATTATAACTATATAATATACAATTTGATTATTATATTTGAACAATTTTGCAAAAACAATGCTGTACTGAAAAATGTGATCATTTTTTAAATTGGTTTGAGATAAAAAAAATATTTGGAGATATTATTCAGTAATTTAGTGTATATAGAAACACTGAAAGAGTTTTATTAAGATTTTAAGGAGGTATAAATTATTTTATGAAATAAAGTCTCGATTCGAAAATAGACGGTTTATAGGTAAGCAAATTATCAAAAAATTACAATATAATTATAAAAAAACCCAACAGTTACATTTGAAAATCCAGCAGCAAAGATGATCATCCAGCCCCAACCACCATCTGGAGGAACAAAATCACCGTCTTTTTTCAATTTAGACTTGTTCAACACTTTATTTGACATTTTTGGTTATATAAATTATATTTATTAATCAAACATCAACGGTTACAACTGTTCTAATGCAAAGTCACTGCATTCACTGTACACGTTGCCCACAAAACTGATAAAATTTATTATTAAACACTGGTTTTAATACGTCGAGTGAATCAGACGCTTTATACAACGAAGCTAGAGTATTATAAATTGATGAAGTTGTGATAACAATATTGCAGACAAAATGTTTATTAACAATTAGAATGAAATTTCCACATCATAATTCTACTTTTATTATTATTTAGCTTTTAAAACAGATAGGAAACCATTATTTTTACTAATACTCTCTTTGTAACCGTTTTTGGAATAATGGAATAAGGATTTGTAACAGCATAATAATAGAAATAGGCGTAATACGATTTCTTAGAACTTTTAAGGTTTCGCAGATAAACGAGGAAAATAAAGATTTCAATATTTTGATTTAGAGTATAGCTATTCATGCGCATGACTAATATTGTTGTCCTGTTGTATACAGTTAAAGTTTTCCATAAATCTACAATCACCTTGTCCTTATGATGTAATAAATACGTTGCTGTACACCTGCACTATTTATTATTTAAAATCAATTTAATCAAATATGACATATTTTATAATTCTAATTCCAATTTCAATTATATGTAATTTATTATATCAAAACTGCTTTTTAATTGGTTTCGTAAGAAATAACGCTTACGTCCAAATAAGCTGTAATTAAATAATCAGAATATAGAAAAGTTACCACTAAAATCCACCATTTATTTCATTTCTTCTCGTTATAATAGGTACTCTTTTAATATAAGGTAAATTTGTAACGAAGGGCTTTACGGGGAACTAATAACAACTATCATAACAAAGGTTAGCCGTTCGTGATCCTCTTTCGAGACAAATATTTTCTTCTTGATTCCATTTCTATATATATTACTAGCTATTTCAAAGAATTTTAAGTAGTTTAAAGAATTTTCATGATCGGATCAATATTTTTGAATATTACCCCCCAACAAACAAATAAACAAAGTTAGAAAGTTTACTTCTTTATAATATTAGTACAGTTTACCGGGCGCGCGAAAATAGTTGGCGATAGCTTAGCATTAAAATAGGGACGTAATATATAGCAGAAGTAATACGAGTATTTACTAAATTGCTTACATAATATTTTCTTATTATTATTGTATGGTGAAAAATTTAAAGACCTTTATTGTTGGTTATTTTTTACTTTGACTGTTATTTTACTCTAATCATCACCTAGTGTCTCGGCGGTGTCAAGCCGTAGATTAGATATTATAATAGTTAAGTTGTATGATTGATGATTCCTTGTTATCTAGAGTGTCTATCATTTTGTGTAAGTAGTACACACTTAAGTCTTGACTATTATGGACTGTATCTTCTTTGTTTTGGAATTGAGGTCTTTAACAACAAAATAAGAACAAGAAGAAAGAAAAATAAGAATAAAACTCTTTTAATTTAAGGTATTGCATAGTCATATATGATAGCGATTGTCAATGTGTGTTTAAGCTATAGATACAATATTTTATAGATCAAAATCCCAGCCATCTAATTAAGGTGTAAAAAAATTAAATTAATACAGTAAGTTATCTAAATTACGTTATGTGAAAAAGATATATGTATAATAATCCAAATAAAAACATTTTAAGGTGTAAACATGTAAAGTGCTGCCAAGTCGAGACCATTAAACGTTAAAAAGCTATTAGATCTAGTGTAGAATCAAGATTCTAACTCTACAAGTCCTTGCTTCACAAACTCTACCCCTTATTCAAAATATAAGGCTCGGCCATTTCAATAATATTTCATCATAATCAATGTTGCCATGGCAATAAAAGTTAGCTCTTACTTATAGGTTGCATATCCCCATTTCAATAAATCTTATTGTAGTAGCAGTTATTATTATTAGTAATCGAATAAGACGAAGGTCTTCAATTCAAGCGTGTTGCTAGTGATGACGTACGGAACTGAGACGTGCCGCTTACGATGGGCCTCATAAGGAGAAAGGAGAAAGGGCTATGCTCGGGGTTTCTTTGTGAAACCGAATCAGAAATTATGAGATCCGCGTAAGTAAGGTCCTGGAGTGGCGACTACGTACCGGGAGACGCACCGTTGGTAGGCCTTCCACAAGGTGGACCGACGATCTGGTGAAAGTCTCGGGAAGCCGCTGGATGCGGGAGGCGCAGGACCGCTCACATTGGTGATCTTTGGGGGAGGCCTATGCCCAGCAGTGGGCGTCTCTCGTGTGAAATGATGATGATGATGATCTAATAAGAATTAATGTATGATCTAAGTGCGACAATGCAAATTGTAAATAAGAAATGAATTTATGTGAAATAAACATGGATCCACAGTTGTCACAGTTCGACAGTTCTCCGATTGCTAAAAGAAATGTTTCATTTCGAAGACCCTGCTCTGAACCAGCACTGTTTAAGCCACACCCATGAGAAAATACAATCCACCACCAACACACTCTTTGATGTAGTTTTTATCAAACATACTTGTTGAACATAGAAAATCTTCCTTTCAGATTTTGAATGAATTCTAAATACGCAATTTATTATTATTATTATTTATTTATTTAATTCTTTCCATTCCAAAAAGTAGATAATCTTAGCCCCATAAAACTATATTAACAGTTTGACTGTGGGTGAACTAGGAGTCTTGTTTTGCGTTACATTTAATGCTACTTGTTTAGTTAAACTTATTCATCTACATAAATTGTTTGTTTTTGGTTGAAATGGGCTAGGTCATAACATAACATATGATTTGAATATTTAGGTGATATCTGTTGGAAAGTGTATTTTACTCTTTAGATTTAGATAAAATTTAAATGGGACCACCACGATCTATCTAGATGTCGAATAAAAAAGAATTTTGAAAATAGGTCAACAATCGACGAAAATATCGATGAACATATATTAAAAAAAACAGACATCGCCTTTGAACATATAACCTTTTCGATTTTGAAGTCGGTTTAATCAATATTAAGTTGCAAAAGAAACGATCGTTCTCATAAATTGATCCTAAACAAAACTTAAAACCCTGTGATGACTCCAGAGATATTAAAGATATCGGTGTAATACATGCTTAAGTTTTTATTATATTTAATTTTATCACCGTCCCTATTGAATGCCCTTAAAGCTATAAAATTACTCATAAAAAGATTTAAAGAAGATACCTATTGCGAGGTGTTCACAGAATGAATTATTTGTTTTAGATTACGGAATCCATTTTATTACCTAAGAGAATTGTTTTATGTTAGTTTTATTATTCATTTATTGGTTAACTATAACTCAGTGAAAACGTATTTACTCAAAGAGCTAACAAATATATCCCTAGTTATAGTTATACATAAATATATACCTAGTTATACCTAGGTGGTGGACTTTGGGTTGTGATGGGTTGGGTAGGGACATGATCTTATTGACCTTGCCATGTACTCTAAGTGTCATAACCTGTATTGTAAATTCGTTCCTTCCTACGGGCACCTTTCCAGTTGGATAGAAGCACATGTTTGATCATACCCCTACCTAAGATTTCCCACCCGGCTGACGTTAGAGACCTTAGACCCGTGAGTATTCTGTCTTTTCTCTCTAAAATTTTGGAGAAGGCAGTATATGCTCAGCTATATAAATACTTTGAGTGTAATAGTATTCTACCCGCACCGCAGTCCGGTTTTCGTCACAACCATGATATTCTCTCTCAGCAGGATGCAGGCCGTGGCACCATTCGTGCTTTACTCGATTTTTCCCGTACTTTTGATAGCATTAACCATCGTCTCCTCTTGGCTAAGCTCGAGTTTTACGGCTTGGATGCCCGTTATGTACAGTGGTTTGCTAGTTATCTTCTTCATAGGTATCAGTCAGGCTGCACAAAGTCTCCGATAATCACTCAGACGATATGTCGGATCCTAGAGTAGTTACAAGTGGTGTACCTCACGGCTTCATTCTTGGGCCTCTATTATTTATTGTATATGCGGCGGATATGGCAAAAGTAATTAAGCACTGCAGCTATCATTGTAACGCCGACGATGTGCAGCTTTATATTTCTACAAATCCGGCGATGACGAAGGAGGCGATCTTGAAATTAAATAAAGATTTGCAGATTGTTGCTGATTGGTCCATGAAAAACAAAATAAATTTAAACCCGTCGAAATCGAAATTTATGGTGTTTGGTTCCAGAGCTCAGTTCAATGAAATTGTTGCTTCGGATCCCATTGTGGCTGTCGGACACCAAACAATTCCAAGGAGCGACTAGGTACGCAATCTGGGAGTGATTTTCGATTGCCACCTGCGCTTCGAGGCACATGTCCTGGGTCTAGTCAGGAGCTGCATGTACCACCTGAAACATCTTTATCGAGTTCGCAATTTTCTAAGTGAAGCTGCGTGCATGACACTAGTCGAGTCTTTAATACTCTCGCAACTGAATTATGCTGATGAGGTTATTGGCCCTCGGCTTCTTTCTAGGACCCGACAGCTGATTCAGCGGGTTCAGAACGCTTGCTGTAGATTTTGTTTCACTGTGCCTCCTCGAGCTCATGTAACTCCATTCTTAAACTCGGCAAATATGCTCCGAATGAAGTCTCGTGGGAAACTATATTTCGCGTGTCTAATATTTAATATTATAAAGCATCGTCAGCCTGTGTACTTATACAATAAACTAAAGTTTTTTACGAAATCTTGTAGATTTGCTGTGAGAGCTGTTTGGCCTGTACTAGCTTCTTATCATCATCGTACGACAGCATGTAGAGGTAGTTTTAAATTTCAATCTACCAAGTGTTGGCATGATATACCACCACCTCTGAGAGGCCTCACCTCTGTATCAACATTTAAATTAAAATTGAAGGCACATTTTCTGGAATTACAAATATATTAATTTACTACCTTCTGACATAATTATTGCAACCTGACATAAGCCATTTAAAATGTTATTCCAAATGTTGACATCATATTACCAGTATATTTATTTTAATTATTTTTCTGTTACCCTACTGTTTATTGATTAATATAACTTTACATTTAAAATGTTATTCCAATTTTTTTGACATCATATTATTAGCATATTTATTTTAATTATTATTCTATTACCCAACAATTTATTGATTATTATAACATTGACCACACTTCTTTTCTGACATGCTTCTTGACTTATATTTTTTTTAA